AAAAAATACTCTCCCTGTTGAGCTTGCCAATAGGGAGAAATGAAGGGTAAGATAGATTCATTCATTCTATAGCTTTTTCTTTTTCTTTTCTTTCTTTTTTTTTTTTTTTTGAGACAGTCTCGCTTTGTTGTCCAGGCTAGAGTGCCGTGGCGTCAGCCTAGCTCACAGCAACCTCCAACTCCTGGGCTAAAGCAATCCTCCTGCCTCAGCCTCCTGAGTAGCTGGGACTACAGGCACGTGCCACCATGCCTGGCTAATTTTTCTATATATATTTTTAGTTGGCCAATTAATTTCTTTCTATTTTTAGTAGAGACTGGGTCTCACTCTTGCTCAGGCTGGTTTCAAACTCCTGACCTTGAGTGATCCGCCTGCCTTGGCCTCCCAGAGTGCTAGGATTACAGGGGTGGGCCACCACGCCTGGCCTTCTGTAGCTTTTTCTTAAGGGGCCCCCGTGTTCTGTGCACCGTTAGTGTTATAGGGGTACAGGGAGGAGTAAATGAGTGTGATTCTTTTTTTTTTTTTTTTTTTTGAGACAGAATCTCACTCTGTTGCCCAGGCTAGAGCACTGTGGCATCAGCCTAGCTCACAGCAACCTCCAACTCCTGGGCTCAAGCGATCCTCCTGCCTCAGCCTCCCCAGTAGCTGGGACTACAGGCATGCGCCACCATGCCTGGCTAAAGAGTGTGATTCTTCTGGAGCTGACGGTCTAGAGTCAGGACGGTGGCAAGCACAGAAACCCTCAGCAGAGAAGGCAGCGTGTAGGCTGTGTCCTTAACGGCAGAGGGGACAGAGGGGGACAGCATTCCAGGCTGAGGACCTGGAAAAGACCAGAAGCTTAGGAAGAGGCTGGTGCATCCAGAGACTGCAGAGGGAGCCAGAGGGAGGCTGGAGAGGGTGGTCTTTACTTCCCTCACTTTCTTTACTATTTCCTTCCTCCCCTATCCTTTCTTCCCGAAAGTGCCAGAAGCACTCATCTTAGACAAGCTAGAATGGATCCTTTTGCCTCCTCTAGTGCTCCTCCTTCTTGTAATCACAATTTCCGATGGGACAGTGTGCTTCTGGAATATATCGTTTTTATTAATGAAAGAACTAATGAATGTTGGCCATAAACTATCCAGTGATGCACTCGTGGGCAAAGCCTGTATGTATTTGAGGAGTTGGGCCAGCAGTGTGGTTTCAAGGTGACCCTATTTATAAAATTAAGGCACCTTCCACCTCTTAAAATGACACCATCTCTAGATGGTGTCACAGCAGAATTTTCTAGAATTTTCTAAAATTTTCTAGAGTTTTCACTGGCACCACTCTCAAGCCCCAGCTTGTCCTACAGGGGCCAGACAGACCAGCCAACGGTGAAGTTCTATAACGCGGCTAATCTACAATACTCTCCGCAGCACCACCCTGCTGGTCTGAATACGCGTGAAAACCTTTCAGCAGAATAATAAGCAGTGGGAGGTGAAAATTACACCCAGAGTGACCACAAGAAGTGCTTCTCAAATACACAATTGCAAAAGGTACAGTGTGGTTACAGGGTTAGAAATGGAGTCACTATTTTTTTTTTTTTTAATATCAAGCCAAACCTGAGTCTGAAGCAAACCAGCTATCAGGAATAGTCAGTACAATGCAAAAGGAATGGGCTTTGCTTTTGTGAGCAGAGTGGCAAGTACAAACCGTTGGTTTGGCATGAGTCTGTTATTAGACACGCCCAGGTGTACAGACACTAATCATGGTCAGATTCGATCTTCTGGTTCATTAAATGTCTTTGAGCTGTATCTAATGTCTACCGTCCTCTGGGGAAATAGAGAAGACTAGGTTGGGTCCTCCACGTACAGGTTCAAAATGAATTCTTGTATTTTAGTATTAATAACATGACCCTCTTGGCCTTTCCTTTGGTGTCCTATTGTCAAACCCCTTTAATTTCTTTTCTCTGTAATCCTATTCTGTTCACCCCCCATTCCTATTTATATCGTAGTATTCAAAGATGAAAATAAGAAAGAATATTCAAAAATGTCTTCAGGTCAAGTACTACGTAGTATATTAGTTTACAGCTAATGCATAATACTCTTTCAATGATATATTGACTTGTGTAAATTTTTCATTGTAATTAACACATCTCTAAATTTGTCACTGTTTATCCTCTTGTGGATAATAGTAACTATCCTTAGTCAATCCCTCTATTATATGTGGTTTTAAAAAGTTTATTATTGTTTTGGCCTAAAAATGTACTTCATAAGCAGAAACCTGGGTTATATATAAATCCCTGGTTATATAAAGAATTTATATCACCTGATATCCATTAGTATTGCTACTATCAAAAAAAATAGAAAATAAGTGTGGGAGGGGATATGGAGAGACTGGAACTCCTGTGCACTGTTGGTGGGAATGTAAAATGGTGTAGCTGCTACAGAAAACAGTATGGCAGTTCCTAAAAAAAAAAAAAAATTAAAGAGAATTATCATATGATTTAGCAATTCTACTTCTGGAATATATATTCAAAAGAAGTGAAGGCAGGGTTTCAAAAAATGGAAAGCAGGTTGTATTTGTATGCCCATGTTCATAGCAGCATTGTTCACAATAGACAAATGGTGGAAGCAGCCCAATGTCCATCAATATGGACACACTGGAAGCTCTGACTCAAGGGGGCGGGGAGGGGGGGGCAAGGGCAATATATGTAACCTTAACATTTGTACCCCCATAATATGCTGGAAAAAGATAAATAAAAAGAATGAACAGACTAAATGTTGTCTATACATACAATGGGATATTAATTAGCCTTAACAAGGAAGGAAATTCTGATGGATGCCAAAATATGGATGAACCTTGAAGACATTGTGCTAAGTGGAATAAACCAATCACAAGAACATAAATACTGTATATGAGGTATCTAAGGTAGTCAAACTCATAGAAATAGAAAATAGAACGGTAGTTTCCAGGCTCTGAGGAAAGGAGGAAATGAGGAGTATTTGTTTAATGAGTGTAGAGTTTCACTTTTGCAAAGTTCTAGAGACTGGTTGCACCACAATGTGAGTATATGTAACACTACTGAAATGTACACTTAAAAATAGGATAGTAAATTTCATGTTGCATGTATTTTACCACAATTGAAAAAAAGTTTATAATAGTTTAAATAAAACAAGACCAATTATACAACAACCATTGTCTTATATCTGTAGCAGATGAGCCAGGCAGAATAGGAAATTCCCAAAGGCCTCTTTTAACACACTAGCCACCACCCCACAGTACTCTCCTCCCCCAGATAGACTTTGGATCTGAGATTCCAGAAGATGCCACTTGGTTCCAATTCTCCAAACTCTGGGATTAAGCCAGGGAAAGAAGCAAACACTTTTAGAAACATAGCGTTATTATACAGGACAACGGGATTTAGCATTTAGGAATCCCATTGCAAAGCTGAATGCTGAGACACATTTGTATTCTATAATACCTCCATCCAGTATTGTACAGATGTCTGGACCAACTTCTTTCCATGCTGGGGAACAGATGTTCCCTGTTTGTCATTATTTTCTAGTATGTATAGTATGTAACTGGTGTTTTAAAAAAAATGTCTCCAGGATTATTTGTTTTCCTTTTCTTTTTTTGAGAGGTTCTTAGCCCAAACTCCTTGTAAATTCAAATAAATATATGTCTGCTGAGTTTCCACCTTTAAAAATCTTTTAGAGAACCCTTCCTGACAGGTTACAGTGGCTGATCGGACAGGCTTGTCCCTAGTCGGGTTCCTACTGGTTACCCAAGCAGGTTACAGTCATCCGACAGTCCATTTTGACCATGAGATAGGGGAACCTCACTGATCTGCACTTGACTTTATCCTCAGGTTGGAAGCCAGAAGCCAGCCTGACTTTCTGCCTCTGAAATAGTTGCAATCGTTGAAGATAATATCATATTTCTTTCATGTCTTGGCCCCTGTTGCATTTCTTGGAGAAACTTGGCTGGCTCAAATCGGTCAGTCAGAAAGCTGATCTTGGCTTTTGAAACCACTCTGCAGTTCTCATCTTTAGCTACTTCTGGCTCACCGCCTTTTAAGGGCATAGTCTCCCTTGTGGGAAAAACAGAAAACCACATAATGCTCCCAAGACCTTCTGCAAATAAAAGACTCATAGGAAAAAGTTCAGGTGGCTTTTTAAGGTCTCACTGTGCTCATTGAGCAGTCTCTGATGACCATCTTTGTAAAACCACCGCAGAGATTTCCGGTGGCCTGGCAGGACCTTAGGACACTGCCCGTCTCAGAGAAGCCAAGCAAAGGGCCTGCAGTTCCCAATCCTGCAGAGCGTGCTCACTGGGACAGACAGACAGTGATTTCAGCCCAGAAGGCCTTGCACGTTAGCTTGGAAATCTAGGTCACGACCTTCATTTTGGGGAAGCCAGAGTGGTACCTGAAATTGTCCAGTCCCCCGGCACCGCGGACAACGTCCCCATTTCCCTCCTAGCTGTTAAGTTGTGTGGTGTCCAACGAAAATAATTTTTCTGTCAAGAGTTTTAGGTCTGCCAGCCTGGTTGGAACAGGGCAGGTTGGAAGCACTCTTTTGACTCTGACTTTGATTTTATAACTTATTAGATCGATGTGACGTGCGATTTTCTAAGGTGCACGCGTGCGAGGGGGCGGGGAGAGCTCGCGGGACCCCAGGCCTCGGCGCGCCCACTCCTGATGGAAACGCGCCGGGGGGCAGGGCGCTCCGGAACTCGTGCGGAGCCACAGTCGCGAGGCCTGCGTCCCCGAAACGCCGGCGCGCAGGACGGCGAGCCTGCACTCTGCGGCCTTCAGCGCCGGGAGGAGGCGCGGCGCGGGCGGCAGGGTCCCACCTGGCCGCGGGACCCGGATCCCGCCAGCCTCTGGCGCGCGTCTCCGGAGGGAGCCGGGAAGCGCCGGCCGCCCCCAGCTCGCACGCCGGCCGGCGTGGGCGGGGCTAGGGCCGGGGCGGAGCCTGTCGTGTGGGCGGGGCGGGCCGGTCTGGGGGCGGGGCTGGCCTGGGGCGGGGCCGCGCGGCGCCGGGACTCCCGCGGGACGGCGGGCGGCACTGGCAGGCGCTGCGGCCCGCCCACCCCGCCCGCGCCGGCCCGCCCCGCGCGCCGCCTCCCCAGCCCGCGCCGCCGCGATGGCGGAGGACAGCGAGTCTGCGGCCAGCCAGCAGAGCCTGGAGCTGGACGACCAGGACACGTGCGGGATAGACGGGGACAATGAGGAGGAGACGGAGCACGCCAAAGGGTAGGGGCGGCGCGCGGGCGCCCCAGGGCGCGACAGGGCGGGGACCGCGCCCCGCCTCGCGGCTCCCGCTCCGGCGCCGGCTCCCGGGCCCCTCGGCCGCTCCGCCCGGCGACGGCTTCGCTGCGGCGCGGAGCCCCGGCGAGGTCCGGGCGGCGCGGCCCGCGGGAGAGAGGGGGCGGCGGCCGGGCCGGGCTGTCACCTGCGGCGCGCCCGCCGGCCGGCCTCGCCCACCGCGCCGCGTCCGGGCCCGCGGGGCGGGCGCGCTCCTGGCAGGCGGCGGCTCTCGGCGGGCGCGAGGGCGGGCGCGACGCCCTTCCTTTGTGGCGGCGGCGCCCCTGGCCGCGGCAGCCGGGGGTGGGAAGTCGTCCTCTGCGCCCTGCCGCCCTCCCCGGGCCCGCAGACCCTTGCCTTGCCCGCGCTGCCGGCGCCGGCGGAGAAGCGCGCGAACACGCCGGCGGGGAGGGCCGCAGTGCCAGGTGCGCGCAGTCCCGCCTCCCGGTGGGCCGGGGGGCTGCCCGCGGGGCGGCGAGTGGCGCGAAGTCCCGCCTCCCCCCGGTGGTCTGGGGGCTGCCCGCGGGCGGCCAGGTGCGCGAAGTCCCGCCTCCCCGGTGGGCCGGGGCTGCCCGCGGGCGGCCAGGTGCGCGAAGTCCCGCCTCCCCGGTGGCCCGGGGCTGCCCGCGGGCGGCCAGGTGCGCGCAGTCCCGCCTCCCCGGCGGGCTCAGCTTCGCCCAGCCCCGCGTGTGCGCCGCGCTCTCCGGACCGGACCGGACCCGGCCGCAGCCCGCTTGCAAACCTGGCCTTTGGGCTCCAGAGCCCGGCGCACCGAGTGTTTCAACACCTGGTCAGGTTTCTTAATTCTTAACCCTTCTGCACTTCTCCCCCTTCCCTCCCCGCGGCCTCGATTAGCCCTTCTGTTGGGGAAGAGATCGCTCTGGGGTACAGCTGGTGTATTGGCGTCCTCCGTTTAGAGGTAAAGGGTCGCTTTAAATCTAGACTGGTGTCCTTCGCAAGTGGCGTTTGCCTTGCCCTGTTACCCCGTTGGATTCAAACTATTCGCTGGTTGCAGAGCTGCCTGCCCCCTTAGCAGTGAGATTTTGCGATTTGGCGAACCCGGTGACTTGAATGGAGAGGGGTGTGGGTCATGTTGAAAACAGGCTAGGGAGGCCTGAGTCACAGATGGTTCATTCAGTGCATTCTTCAAAGGGTTGGTGATTGAAACGTGTAAACCATTTGCATTCTATGTAACGTCTCAAGATTTGAGAGAGGCACTTTTTCTGACCTTTAAATGCATTATAAAATATTAAACGGGAGATCAAGAAAAGATGATCGCCTGTAGAGATCCCTTTGCAAGTTGTTTTTTTTTTTTTTTAAGAAATTTTTGCAGTGAATACTTCGGTGGCAGCTGCAAGTACCGAATGTTCGAGTCCAGAATATTATTTTCAAAGAATTTGTACAGAAATCTGAGCCTGAGTTCTGTGGATGCAGTGATTGAAATTTGCTTTTGATAACTAAATGTAAACATGTTTTTGAAACAATGGTTCTGGTTGCTATGAATGGGCCCATATGCAAGGGTGATTAATGGACCACCCAAATAACTGCAGTACCTACCAGTTATCTTTCTAGAGAAACCCAGGATTTCCGTCTTCTCTGCTGTAACTTCTGCTTATTGTTGGTTTGATTGATAGTCTAGGTTGAGGGTTTGATTAGGACTTCCACAGTTGACAATGTCCATGGTAGGAAGAATTACTTATCTGTGTGTGTGCAAGTTGAATCGGGCCTGTCTCATGACACCTTTCAAAAGTCTGGGTGAAGTTCTTGGAGTAGCACCCAAAGATTCTCTGTGCCTTTTGAGTTTTCAGTTTTGTGCCTCAGCCCCTTCATTATATATTAGCAAGGTTAATACAAATTTAGAAATGTCCCATGGACTGAAATGTTTTAGCCAAGAGCAGATAACATGATTACCACTTCTAGTGGGAAGAAATTAATATAATGGGTTTATTGTACTCTCTTAAAATGTAAGGAGATTAGTAAAAGTCCAGATTGCTGCCCATGTTGGACTGCTTTTTTGGTTTTGAATTTCGACAGTGTGTGCCACATTTGGGGGAGCAATTGTTTTTTATTTGGCTCTTGTTCTGATGATATGGCTCAGGTAGAAACCTAGATTTTCTTGAAGAGGCTCAAGTTTGTAAATGTTAACGTTGGAAAGACTCCTTTTCTGCACTTGGCCTCTTCATTCTCTACCAGTTTAAACAAATAACAAATGATAAGCCTTTAGATGAATGAGTAGGTCCACACTTCACCTTTTAAAGGCAGATGATCAATTTGAGGCCACAATGCAGCTGTCTGCACAGAGTGGTAATTTACCCAATAGTACCCTGGTGGCCTAAAACAATTAATTTGCCCTGACCATTGAACACCCAGGATAATGTATTTACTACTTGTTTTAGACACATTAAGTTGAAACTAGAGCCTCAAATAAAAGGAAAATATTCAATTTGATTCTTATTTTGCACCAACATGTAAATATTACTGCATATACTTTTATTTTCATAGAATTTTCTTTTTTTTTTTTTTTTTTTAGACAGAGTTTCGCTTTGTTGCCTAGGCTAGAGTGAGTGCCATGGCGTCAGCCTAGCTCACAGCAACCTCAATCTCCTGGGCTCAAGGGATCCTTCTGTCTCAGCCTCCCAAGTAGCTGGGACTACAGGCATGAGCCACCATGCCCGGCTAATTTTTTCTATATATATTAGTTGGCCAATTAGTTTCTTTCTATTTATAGTAGAGACGGGGTCTCGCTCTTGCTCAGGCTGGTTTTGAACTCCTGACCTCGAGCAATCCACCCGCCTCGGCCTCCCAGAGAGCTAGGATTACAGGCGTGAGCCACCGCGCCCGGCCTCATAGAATTTTCTTTATGGACTAAAAGGGCATTTCATTTTATGAATAATGCTGATAGTCTGTGAATGAACTGTAAGATGTTTTATGTTTAATTCAAAGCAATGGCATAAGTATTATAAAATACTTGAATCTTACTATCTTTATATCTTATTTTTCATGGAAAATGAGCTCTTTGTTTATCCTTTTGATCCACCCAGGTATGGAAGTGATATACCACTATAAAAAATCTCATGAATTGCAAAAAAACATAGGGGAGGCGAAGGATTTTCAGTTTTAATTAATGAGACTGTATTCTAAGAAGTGTAGTTTTATTATTTTCAAGCAATATGTGGCCATTTGAAACAGGCTAATAGAGGATTGCCTAGAAAGTTCTTTTGGATAACTTGCTTTAACACATGATTTGCAATTAGAATAAGTAAGTAGGTCTTTGTAAAGAGTTTGAGGGAGCATGAAAAGATTTTCTATTAACTCCAGTCCAGCTTCCTGTACGAATGATTACAAATAGTTCAGATGACTGAAGATTTATGTTCTGCCGTGGGTGGCAGTGGTATGAAAGAGGTTACCTATAGGACGAATTTCATAGAAGATTTCACAGTTGGGTAGATACTCAAGGATCTTTAATACTTTGATCATCTTTGCTGTGTTTGTGCCTTCTGTTTGTTATGAAGGGATTTGGGGAAACCATTGAAGACAGGGCAAGTTGTTGAAGAATCAGCTGAAACTCACCATGTTCTTGTCCTTTCCATGTCCGTGGGGGACATTTGGGTAGTAGTCATTATCTCTTACCACATTAATGATACCTATCGTCCAGTGTGAGAAACAAAAATCACGCAGTTAGCCTCAAATAAAATTAGTGCTCAAGTTTGTAACAAAACCTAGGTTTACCAACACTGACTTTCAGAATGCGTATTTCCTAGACACATTGATGTTTCTCATCCTTTTCCCACTGGGAGAGCTTTTCCCTGCATATTCACTATGGTGAAATAGGAAGCAGCTGTCTAGAATATTTATACAGGGAATCAAAATATAACATACATGAATATGTCTTTGTTGGCCGATAAATGACTAAATTAATCCCTAAGGTAGATACGAAATGGTTTTAGTATTTAAGGGTGAAGACATTTTTTTCTTAGAAAAATTAAAGATCTGGTATTAGGCAAAGATGAAAACGTCAGAATTCTTTTAACAAAGAACACACTCTGTCTTCTACCACCCCGGATTTAGGGGGGAATAGTGAAGTTATTCTCTGTGCAGTATGTTGTCATATCTGACTTTATCTGTCTATTGGTAAGATTGAGTTCGGGAACTTTCTCTTACTCAACCGTATGGTATCAGTGGGAAAATACAGAAACTTACTATGACTCTCAGTAGGTTTTTCTTGTCATCAAAAATTTAAGGAATAACTCCAAGCTGCCCTTTCTGAAATTTGATCTGTTATCAGCTATATAAATCTAAATGAGATCCATGCCCAAGGGACCTCTGCAATTCAAGAAATACAATTTGAAATGATCAAATATCTGCTAAGACTTGCATCTGAATCACCCTTTGGCCCAGAGCAAACTTCTCCCAGAGGTTGGCTAAAATACAGAAAATTTCTAAATATAGGACACATACTTTGCCATCTCTGTTTAATAGCACAAATATATGCTATAAATCTATTTTTGTTATAATCACTTTAACAGAACCAAGTTCTACTTTCTAGTTCAAGAAAGAAATTGACTGGTTTGTTGTTGTTCCATTTCAAAGTATGTTAAGGACTGTTTACTCTTGATAAGAGTAAAATGTGCTTTTTAAAAATCCAAACAATAAAGTGCATAAAGGAGAGAATGAAAGCTTTTCATCATCTTATATCCTAGAGATGCCACCGGTGGCAGTTTAACTCACATTTTAGTATGTGTCTGTGTGTTTAACATAAATGGGACCATATTTAACATGGGCTCGTTTGTTACCTTGTATTTTTCACCATTAATGCTGTCTGCTGGAACTTTCTGGAGTGATAGAAATCCAGTTTGGTAGTCATTAGTATGTCGGATTCTTGAGCACTTGAGCAGTCTTTTATTTTAATTAGTCTAAATTTAAGTTGCCTAGTATGGGGCAGTTCAGATCATCGTCTGCCTTTGAATTTTGTTTATAAGCTTTCATGGCACTCAAAATATATCTTTATTTTCCTGCCTTTTACAGAATTTGACTAGTTTTTCATTCTTCCTTTTATTTTTCTTCTGGGGATTACCTTTAAACTTTGAACAAGCATGTTTTATCTGTATTTCCCTATCAGTGTCAAAAATTAACTTCTATCCAAAATATTCTACCACCTTACAAGGCAAAAGTAGGATATTTTGATATCTCCTCCTTCTCATTTCCTAGGTTTTGTTGAAATAACCTAGGATTTTTATTCCATGTGGCTTCTTTTATTTTTGCCCTTGTATCCCTAAAGACTTTTTTTTTCTTAACTATTACATGATGTTTCACATCCATGTTATCAGAAACTTCTAGACTTTCCTGACAGCTCTACTGTTTTTATCGATTACCGTTATTCTTTGCAGAACATACACTCTCCTTTTCTTCTTTAAATACTTTTTTCTAAAATTTTTCTTCTTAGAGTGTGTGGATGATGTATTGCCTGAGTTTTTGAGTATCTGAAATGTCATTCTTTTAGATGGAAGTTCTTTTCCTACACCCCAGGCAGATCATGGCCCTTCTTTACAAGATTTTTGTTAAGGGGTAGAGGGCGGGTAAGAAGCGTAGTATTTTGCCATACCTTATAACCACAAGGATTTCATCCCAATATGGGACATTCCTTTAATGAAAGAATCGAGTAGCTCTCTGATCAGGACTGCAATATATAGAAAAGAAAGTTAAAAAATGAAAATGTGATATGCAAGGGAATTTAGAATAGGAATATAATTTTAAAAGTATATCAGATAATTATCTTGGCTGGCACACATTAATATTATTAAATATAACGATGATAATACAATATAGAGATTCAAGGGAAAAAAGCATTTTTGTTTTGACTTAACCTTTAAAACTCAGACAGACCCAGAAATGAGAAAAGTTATACAGGAACTAGTGTATATCAGCTATTCTATCAGGAAAATGTTTGTGAGTATGGGTGAGAAAAGCTGTAAAAAAAAAAAAAAATAGGATAATTGTTCACTAATTAGGGCTGTCATTAAGAATATACTCTGCCAACTCCTTTAAGCCTTTTTAAAAAATTTTGGAATTTCTACTTGTTTTGTTCATCATTTCATCTTTAGGAAGAGTTTCACCTAAGCTGCACAGAAGTAAGCCTTTAAGAAATTTGTTTGTTAAACTCTAGAGTTTAAAGAAAAAAAAAAAATTAAACTCTAGAGTTTAAAGAAAAAAAAAAAAGAAAAGAAATTTGTTTGTTCAATGGCTGAACATTTGTATTTAAAGATATGTAAGAAAATTTTTTTTTAGCATTTTAAATATTTTGAACTATCTGCAAAGACAGATCTTAACTTCACATATTAAACTTCATACTGGACAAGTTTCTGGCCAATGAGTGTTAGGTGAAAGTTTATCATAGTTTAACACCATCTCTTATCAGAATTTGGTTTTTATATGAAATAGGCCCCAAAATTGTTTGATAATAATGAAATAATTGGGAAGAGAGAAGGCTAACGAGATTGGGACGTATTTTCCCACATTTAGAATATGGTGCAGGTTTAAAAGAACCAAAAACTTGGAAACAACCCAGCATGTAAGAAAAGGGGCTGATGGACAGACTAGACCACAAGCCAGCTAAGGACATCGTCAAAGTTCTTCGCCTCCAGCCAGGCCTGTGTTGAATCCAGGGCTTATTGTTCAGCCATTGCCTAGAGCTAGCCACTCTGTGCTGCTGTCACCCATATAAATATTTAAATTGTTGGCTAGTCCCTCAGTCATCTCTCCCAAAAGCTTCCACCTCCACCACGGCAGCCACCTGCCTGCTCGGTTGCCCTGTTTATCGTTGTCTCTGCCCCTAACTGGCCATAAACTTCCGGGGCATCTTCGAGCTCCGAGCCTTAGTAGGGCTTGTGCGTGACTTACTGCTGTGACCAGAGATGCTGTGGCTTTGTGGATATTTCCAGTGCCAATCCCAAGAGGAGAAGGAACACGCTGAGTAAAGCATGAAGCCATCAAACCCACGCAGTGGCCGAAACCCTGCTTTAGATGAGACCGTAACACAGCCAGATGATGACAGCTGCAAGGTGGGCTTCCTGCTCTGGGTTATGCATTCTACTTGGGGGGAAAAAAGAGCAAAGAAATCAATACTGGAATTACACAAATCAGCCACTGACAAAAACAAGCACACTCATGGTGATTTCTTTAAGAACCTAAACTGCAGGTAAAATCCATTAGTGAATGGTGGCCACGTGATCAACTTGTGTTAGATGGGTGCCCCAGTCCAGGGTGAGCACCAACCTGTGGGCAGGACACCCTGAGAATCTGAATCAGCCGCAGTGACTTCCCCGGATGTGGGTTGAATTTTCTTCCATCAGCAGGGCAATGTAACACCCCTTTTGGTTACCTTTACTGTTTTTCACAAACTGTACAAAAACAGCCTTGTTTCTTCTCGGTAGTGCCTTTCCTTCTATGAAGTGATCTGATGTCCTAACCAGAGCTCCAAATCGTGGGCACACACAGTACAATGGTCTGTTACAATTTGATAAAATAGGCTGATAACAAAAATGCTCCAAGTTCATGAATAGACAGTTCACAAAAGAAGACCTGAAAACTGCCAATAAATATCTAAAAAAATGGTCGACCAATGGAAATACCTAAAGGAATAATGTAGTTTTTTTCTTTTTTTTTTTTTTTTGTTTTTGTTTTTCTCCTTTTCACCAAGAAATTTGTGACCAATGTTTTTTTCTTTCTTTTTTTTTTTTTTTTTTTTTTTTTTTTGGGAATAATGTAGTAATTATAGGGATTCTGGAGCCAGACTGGCTGGATTCAAGTCCTGGCTCTGTCATTATGAGCCACGTGACCTTGAGTAAGTTACTCAACCTCTCTGTGTTTCAGTTTCCTCAACTATAAAGTGGGAATAATAATGATAATTGGACTTACCTCAGTGGTGACAGTGTATAAGGTTGGTATCTATAAGGTGCTTGGTACAGTTCCTGATAAATAGTAAGTGTCCTAAAGCGACAGCTTCTGTGATGATTATGATGGTGACGATGATGATGGTGGTGATCCTGGTCATGTTGGTTATGGTGGTGGTGGTGATGGTGGCAGTACCATATTGTTCTCCAAAGCTGTTTCCATTTACATCTTACCAGTGGTATATGAGTGTTGCCTTTCCTCACATTCTTCTGATATTGTTAGACTTCAAACTGCTTGCCAAATTAGGCCGGGTGTGGTGGCTCATGTCAAATCCTAAGCACTCTGGGAGGCCAAGGCAGGAGGATTGTGTGAGGTCAGGAGTTCAAGACCAGCCTGAGCAAGAGGGAGACCCTGTTTCTACTAAAAAAAAATAAAAAATAGAAAAATTAGCTGGACATTGTGGTGCAAAACCTGTAGTCCCAGCTACTCAGGAGGCTGAGGCAGGAGGATCACTTGAGCCCAGGAGTCTGAGGTTGCTGTGAGCTATGATGCCACCACTGCACTCTAGCCTAGGCGACAGAGCGAGACTCTGTCTGGGGGGAGAAAAAAGGCTTGCCAAACAGTGGATAAAAACTGAGCATCTTTTTTTCATAAGTGTATTGTCCATTAGGGCTTCCTCTTTTGTTAAGCGTTTATTCATATCCTCAGCCCATTCTTCTTTCAGTCTTTTGTCTTTTTCTCACTGACTTTTTATTGATTTCTCATTCATCTGGCAAATGTTTATTGAGAACTTTTTTTTTTATTTTTTGTTTTTTTTTTTTTGAGACAGAATCTCATTCTGTTGCCCAGGCTAGAGTACCATGGAGTCAGCCTAGCTCACAGCAACCTCAAACTTCTGGGCTCAAGCAATCCTCCTGCCTCAGCTTCCCGAGTAGCTGGGACTACAGGCATGCGCCACCATGCCGGGCTATTTTTTCTATATTTTTAGTTGCCCATTTAATTTCTTTGTTTTTAGTAGAGACAGGGTCTCGGTCTTGCTCAGGCTGGTTTCAAACTCCTGACCTTGAGCAGTCCTCCCACCTCGGCTTCCCAGAGTGCTAAGATTATAGGTAAGAGCCATTGCGCCCAGCCGAGAACTTTTTATATGTCAGATAATGTTTTAGGTGCTAGGAATACATTGGAAAGCCCTGTTTTATGGAGATTATGTTCTAGTTAGAGGAATTCAAATTATCTGCTTTTAGCTAGCTGTAAGTTATATGAAGAAAATTCAAGCTGGGCAGTTGTAATAGCTAACATTCCCTGAATGATTTCTATATGCCACTACTACTGTGCTAAGTTCTTGTGTGAATAACTCATTTTATCCTCACAATTTTTCTATGACTTTATTGAAAACATCATCCTTTTACAGCTGTGGAAACAGAAGCACAGAGAGGTTAAGTAATAAACCCAAAGTCACACAGCTGGGAAGCAGTGGAGCCAGGATTCAAATGCAGGTGGTCAAATGCTAGCTAAATGCCTACAGTCCTGGCCAGGATGTTATGTTGCCTCACATACTATACTGGATATAAAATGTAGAGGGGAAAAGAGCTTTTTATATATCCTGGCTATTAAAACTTTCTCATGTGTGTTATAAATATCTTGCCTCGTTTTGTAGTTTTAAAATTTTGTTTATAAGCACTTTGCTGTGAAATGTTTAACTTGCATGTAGTCCAATACTACTCCCATGTAGCTATCTTATGGTTTGTATTTTCAGGCCCTTGTTTAAGAGATTCTTTATTCATTGACCTTACAAAGTTATCATCTAATTCTTTCAGTTATTCATTTAATAGATATATACTTGAGCATCCACTGTACGCCAGGCACTGTTGTAGGCACTGAGCAGATGTGAACTAAATGGACAGACGTCACTGCCTGCAGTTTTAAGGTTTTGTTTTCCAAGTTTGGGTCTTTCACTCATTTGGAATTTGTTTTTGTATATTGTGGGGCATCGCAAGCTAATTTTATTTTTCTGCCTAGAGGAAGTCAGTTTTTCTGATGCTGTTCATTGAAAAGTTTATTTTTTTCACCACTGATTTATGATGCAATCTTTATCATGTATCAAGTTCGTATATATCCACCATGGGTATGTCTGTTGTATTTCATCAATCTGTTTATCTGTTCTTGAGCTCTGTTGTATTTCAGTAATGTTTTAGTTACAAAGCTATTGTGATCACAGATAGTTTAGAAAATGCATAAACATACAAAGAAGATTATGATCACCTATATTTCCACCACTTTCTATGTAAGAACTTGGAAGTCAAGGGGGAAAATATTTGAAAAATGATTGCAATATCAAACTACTAATTTTTCTTCTGTTTCACAGCAGGGAGGAGCTAAACGATCCCTCTGGTGGTATCCTATAAAGCAAGGGTCCTCAAACTTTTTAAACAGGGGGCCAGTTCACTGTCCCTCAGACCATTGGAAGGCCGGACTATAGTTTAAGAAAAACTATGAACAAATTCCTGTGCACACTGCACATATCTTATTTTAAAGTAAAAAAACAAACAGGCAAAAACACCTGCATGTGGCCCGCAGGCTGTAGTTTGAGGACGCCTGCTATAAAGTCTAAAATTGTTTCTTCTCTTTGGAATTCACATACCAAAAATTGAGCTCTTTGGATGTCAGTGTTAGGATTACTGTATTAGTTATGGCGGGCTGAGCTGCTGTAACACATAGACCCTAGCATGTGACTGCCAGCACAATGGAATTTTCTTTCTTAGTCACGTGCCAGCCCTGGGCAGGTGCCCCCTGGGTGGCAAGGGAGCCGTGTGGTCTAGCTGTGCGTCCAGGGAGAGAGGAAGGGTGGGTTTTCTTGAATGTTCTCCTGGACCACCTGTAAAATGTTCCCGTGGCTCTGTTATAGCGGGTATCCCATCAAGTCCTGTCTGTAGATTCCATGAATACTTCTTCAAAGAGATTTTCTGATGTGCTTATTACATATTTGACATTTCCACAGCTGAGAAGGAGGTTACCAGTTTTCACTTGAAGTTTGAGTGGTCCACAGATTCTCTGTAGACACAGACTGAAGAAGTATCTCCTTTCCAAGGCAGCAAAACTGAGAGCCTTTTCTTTGTGGGCCTTTCAAATATGAAATCTTGGGGATGAGGGAAATGGAACTTGTGTTCTGGAAGATCGAAGAGTCTTTATAAAAAAGCAATGTAATTTCTGAGGCTAAATTTCTGTGACTCAGTACTCAACCTCAAACACAGACAGTCTGAAGCAATTTTCTCCGTTGGATTTCCAGGAAGAGACTTGGACACTGATTTTCCGTTATTATCCCAAAGCCTGCCCTGCATCCCTCCTGCCTGGCTACCGTGGCATCTCTTTCTGTCATACCTCTCCTTTCAGAAGCGGAAACCAGCCATGCAGCCATAGCTGACTCTTGACTCTTGGGGTCTTAACATCCTGGGGACAGAAGTTGCACCTGTCAACTTTTTGGACAGTTTTATTGAGATACAATTCACACACTGGGCTCATGCCTGTAATCCTAGCACTCTGGGAGGCTGAGGAGGGAGGACCGCTGAAGGTCAGGAGTTCGAAACCAGCCTGAGCAAGAGCGAGACCCCGTCTCTACTAAAAATAGAAAGATAGTAATTGGCCAGCTAAAACTAGGTGGGGTGCGGTGGCTCACACCTGTAATCCTAGCACTCTGGGAGGCCAAGGCCGAGGCAGATCGCTCAAGGTCAGGAGTTCGAAACCAATTCACACACCATACAATTCACCTATTTAAGGTATACAGTTCATTGGGTTTTAGTATATTCACAGAATTGTCCATCCATCATTGCAGTCAATTGTAGACCATTTTTATCACTCCAGAAAGACACCTGCATCCCTTAGCCATAGCCACCCAAACCCTCCATCTTCCCAGCCCCTGACAGCCTTCTGCTTCTATGGATTTGCCTGTTGGGACATTTAGTACGAATGAGATCACACACCATATGTGGTCCTCTGTGCCTGGTTTCTTCCACTCAGCATACTGTGTTCAGGTTCATCCATGTTGTATCATCAGCATTTCATTTTTTTCATTGCTGAATCATATCCCACTGCATGGCTAGATCACATTTCCTTTATTCCGTCATCAGTTGGTGGGCATTGAGGTTGTTTCCACCTTTTGGCTATTATGAATAATACTGTTATCAATATTTGCGAACAAGTTTCTATGTGGATGCAAGTTTTCATTTCTCTGGGTTATATACCCAGGGGTGTGATTGCTGGATTATATGGGAAATGTAGGGTTAGCGTTTTGAGGAACTGCCAGACTGGCTTCCAAAGGGGCTGCACCATTTTACATTCCCAGCACCGGTGTATGATGGTTCCAATTTCTCTACATCCTTGCCAGCACCGGTTACTATCTTTTTGGTTATAATTGTCCTAGTGGGTATGAAGTGGCACACCTATAAGCTCCAATTCCCAAGTTTCCTTCCAGCCTCCGGAAAGGGATAAGTAGCTCTTGCTCATTCCAGGAAGCTCAGCTTCTGTTGACATGCTTTCATATGTGTCTGGGAGTTTGGAGGAGGAGATGACCAATTTAGTGCCCGATTTCTGTAGCTCTCTGTCAATTTATCTTTAAAGCTCAGACAGAGAAAAAAAAGAGAAACTCTTGATGAACTAGAGTTCACAAAAATGATTACAGTTTCTTCATTATACCACAATAAGGAAAATATGATTTTTAGCAATTCTGTTGGGGGTGAGCACAGTTTTGGTTTGTAATATCAGTTAACCCCCAAATTGTAACTAGCAGAAAACCTTACTACACTAGTGTCCTTTAAGATATAAGAATGGGGCCGGGCGCGGTGGCTCACGCCTGTAATCCTAGCTCTCTGGGAGGCCGAGGCGGGCGGATTGCTCAAGGTCAGGAGTTCGAAACCAGCCTGAGCAAGAGCGAGACCTCGTCTCTACTATAAATAGAAAGAAATTAATTGGCCAACTAATATATACAAAAAATTAGCCGGGCATGGTGGCACATGCCTGTGGTCCCAGCTACTTGGGAGGCTGAGGCAGGAGGATCCCTTGAGCCCAGGAGTTTGAGGTTGCTGTGAGCTAGGCTGACGCCACGGCACTCACTCTAGCCTGGGCAACAAAGCGAGACTCTGTCTCAAAAAAAAAAAAAAGATATAAGAATGGGTGATATAAACTTATTTAAGGGATGGGATTTTTTTTTTAGTGAAATAGTGTGTGTTTTATTTTTTTTTTATTTTTTTTTTTTAAAACAGGAAGTCTCCAAGTATGTTTTATTTTTTAATGTCTCTAGATCCACTCCAGTTTCTGCGAGTTTGTTTGTCTGTTTTAGAGAAAATTAATCCACACTTAGGACAAATATTTCTAGAATCTTCATTGATGGGGAGATATTTTTATCCAGTTAGATGGGCATCTGCTTCAAAGCATGCAAGCGTCTTGGAATTCTGGAGATATTTTAAACTGGGTGTATTGTACAGACAAGCTGTGAGCTCCTGGGCTCCTCGTGGTTCCTAGAAAAGCCGTAACCAGCAGTAGGTAAAATAAAGGATAGAGGCAGAAGAGAGATAATTCCCCAGGTTGTGAAGCCAAGGCATGTCCTTACAATTGTGGTTACTACGCCTTCCCTCTGCCCCCGCCCCTGTATAGTGCAGACCATGTAGGAAATGTGCAATAAGTGCTTGATAATAAATTGCAATAGCCTTTACCATCAAGGTTGGGAGAATTACAGCTTTCAGAGGTATTAGTACTTTACCTAATTAATTAATTGTTAATTATTATTAATATTAATATGTGGTCGGAACTACTTCAAGAGCCAGAATTATTCATTCTTTCTTTCATTCAAGAGGAATTTGTTATTAGTATCTTCTAGTATGAGGCAGTATAGACCTTAGGGATGTAGTTATGAATAGATCTCTTCTATCACTCACTCACACACACACACACACACGTAACAGTCTAGCAGGTTCACCACTTTACAAAGTGCCAGCCCTAGGAAAATTGAGGGAGGACAGCCTAAACTATCCCTACTCCCAAATCAGAAAATATGTAAAACTATACGTATTCACAGCATGTATGTATGGTACCTGGCCGTTATATGTTTGTTTAAGCTCAACTGCTAGTCAGATATTTCTGGGTGTCTTTAGCCACCAGATGATTTTTAAATATAAACATCATGATAGTACAAGTTTGATTACACTGATGAAAATAAACTGCTCGTTTTGGGGTGGGAATGCCTTACTATTTTTAGACCACTTGGGTACCACTTGACAAGATCTTAATATTTCTCCAAAAAGGAGCACTGTTTTCTATTTAAGAATTAGAATGGAAATATGAATCTGTAGCTCAAGTGCTTAGTTCTTAAACAGTTTCTCTCACTGTTGAACGTATCTTTCGTATTTTGACTGTATTTTCAGAGGAATAATTCATCTGTTTTACATTAAAAAGTTTATTATTTTAATATTAGGTTATTAAGTATGGAATGTCCGATTTCCTTAAGTACTAAGTTTGACGGTTGATATCGCTGACATTTCACAGTGACACTTCTTGTTCATCTGTTCTGTTCTGCCACTCTGATACAGTTCCTTTGAAAATGGCGTGGGCTTCCTGTGTGTTGGTTTCTGGTTCACACCATTAGACAAAAGCCACACCTACACATCTTGCAGATAAATTCTACTTAACCTCGAGCTCCCTGTGAGGTAGTGATGGAACAATGCTCTTAAGATTCTTAGAAGGTGAGTCACAGTGGCTCACACCTGTAATCCCAGCACTTTGGGAGCCCGAGGTAAATCACTGGAGGCCAGAAGTTCCAGACCAGCCTGGGCAACATAGGGAGACCCTGTCTCTACCAAAAAAAAAAAAAAATTAGCTGAGCATGGTGGCACGTGACTGTAGTTCTAGCCACTTGAGAGGCTGAGTCAGTAGGATTGCTTGAGCCCAAGAGTTCGAGGCTGCAGTGAGCTATGATTGCAGCACTGCACTCCGCCCTGGGTAACAGAGTGAGATGCTGTGTCTAACCAAAAAAAAGAAAAATTTTTTTTTAATTCTTAGGGGCCATCTTGTTTAAAGGGAGGATGTACAAGGCATATCCTTCAGAAACTCAGAAGGCCTTTTGATTAGATCTTTCTGAGGTCTAAATAAAAGGTCTGACAGCTCCATCCTGGATATTTTATTTACTTTTTTGTCCTGAGACTTAGTATGCGAATCCTTTACCCTCCGGAGATGGCTAGGGTGAGAAACAACTTTATGTTTGAATCTAGCAAGTAAGGGCTGGGCTTGTATTTTCTCTAGATTCTGCTTACGACCTGCATAGTCCTTCTTTAGTTAATCTTTGCTTTCTCGTTGTGTTATAGACAGCTAGAAGCAGCCAGCATTTTTAACTCTTTGCCCACTTCTTAGATCATCAAGTTCATTAGGTATATTTTCTACTTTCCACATTATTGCTGGTGACAGTTTTATAAATGTTCCTCTGCTCCACGACAGAGGTGTCCACTCCTTGCTCTTCCGACGGCGTTCACATTATTTTACTCTGTACGCTCACTGGCAGCTTCCTCAGTCCGGGCAGGCTCCTCCGTGTACCTCCAGCTCTGTCTGCCACCTGGTCATGGAGCCAGTGCCACCCGTTTTAGCTTCTTGTTAATCACAACAGCCATCCACTTTTCAGATACCAAATTTTTCTGTTCCCTTATTTATTGCCGCATAGCAAATCATCGCAGACTGGGTGACACAAAACAACAGTCACTTACAGATTCTGAGGTCGGGATGTTGGCACGGGCAGTTTCTCACTTGGGGCCTCTCATACCTGTGCAGTCAGGTGTTGCCTGGGCGAAGTCACCTGCAGACTAGGCTGAGCCGATCGCCTGAGATCACTCAGCCCCACCGGCCACTGGCGGTGGACAGCGGCTGCCCCCTGGATGTTCAGCCGCTCTGTCTACGGAGCTGTCCCCCAGCCTGGGGGGCTCAGGGCAGCCCGACTTCTTCTGCAGCTCCTGGCTGCTTCCAGAGTGAGCATCCCAAGGGAAGCAGGGGGACGGAAACCGAATAGCCTTGGAACTCGCTAGTGTCACTTCCTCTGCGCTTTATCAGCGAATCACAGGCGAGCTGACCCAGATCCAATGGGAGGGGCAAAGACCCAGCTTTCTCTATGACAGAAGCAGCAAAGAATTTCCATGCATCTTAAAATTCCTTGCACCGGGTACAGTGTGTGGCACGAGATGGACCTCACTATTTAATTGTCGAGTGAATGAATGAGTACCCAGTGAGCAGGCCTGCCAGCCCCTCTGTCCCAGTAGTCTCTGCAGTGGCAACCGTGTTATTAGTACAGTTTGACCCTGTATTAACAAATTATGTTCTAATGGGGCTTTCTCATATTTATAATTATTTGGCAAGTAAAGGTACAGCACATCACATTACAGCACGTTATTCCAAAGGAGTTAGGAGGCTATTTTTCTTAAAAGCCACTAAAATGATAGAAAAGTGTAAAAGGATATTTATGTAATTTTGGAATAGGCAAGGGCCTATTGTAAGAGCTAAAAAAAAAAAAATAAACTGGATAAAGTATTTGCAATCTAAGTAAAAGACAACATACTCAGCAGTGTAATACAAACATAAAGTAGGATCTCTCTCCTAGGGCCGTTGTAAATGGAATTACGCACCCAAAGTCAATACTTAATAAACAGTAGATGCTATCCATGCTATTATAAAGAACACCCACAAATCATTTTTTTTTTAAAAAAATGGCTAATAAGAAAGGGATATAAATGAGCAATTCACGAAGAAATATAAATGGTCAAAAAACACATGAAAGGATGTGCAGCTTCAGTCCTGATTAAATAATTGAAACTTAAGTCCACAGTGAGATTTGTTTCCAAACCTGTTGACGATGAAAAAGGACGATGCTATTTCAGTTCTGGCAAAGACGTAGGGAAACCAGTTCTCTGATTCACTGTTCATAGACTGGACATTGGTGCAGTATTTAGGAAAGCAGTCTTAAGTATTCATTAAAACCAAAAATGTGCATGCCCTTTGACCTAGCATTTCCACCTTTAGATATACTGGCTTGAATGCACAATGAAGTAAGTATACCTGAATATATATATTTTTTTCATAGCAGGGTTTTTACTATAGGAATGGTTCAATAAAATGTGATCTGTCTGCACAGTGGAATGCTGTCTAGTTGCTAAAAAAGCACCTAAATACCCACTTCAAACTGGGGTTGTTCAACAGTCACCTGTACAATCCTGACACAGAAATAAGTCAGATACTTTGTTAAGTGGAAGGGTGGGGGGGAGCAAGTGGTATGTTTAAGATTCTTTTTTTTTTTTTTAAATCACTCATTGTGAAAATGAGGACATATGTAGAAAATAAAGACAATTTCAGAAGCATGTACAGCACGAAAACAATTGGTTGCCTTTAAGGGCCAGTATTATAGGGCCGTTAATGTATATTACTGACATTTGAGTCTCCTGTAATGAATATCTGTGTGATAATTAGATACAAACCCCAGAGGGAAAAGGTAGCAGTAGATAGAGCTGGTTGATTTAGAGCAGTAGAAACTGATTGCATGACTTTTCCCTATGTCAGGCAGTAATGCAATAATAATTTCTGACTTTAAATTTTAATTTACTTTCTGGGAATTTTATGGTAGAATAATTTACTTTCTGGGAATTTTATGGAATTTTATGGAAAATTTAAATCTCCTTGTGTACTTTTTTTTCCTGTTTGCGCTTTCGGAAGATGACAACTATAAAATGACAAGGGTTCCAAACGGAAACGTCTTACCAGTTAATGTTTTTTTTTTTTTTTATTGTTAGCCCTCCCAGTAAAAATCTTTATCGGGAAAAATTTCCTCCTCTGCGGAAAAGAAGTTCGTTTAGTGCTGTTGCTTAGGAGATTAATGGGCTGTTGTACACAAGAGAGATGTTTGTATGGAATGTTTTGCATTATTGTATCTCTCCCTGAAAAAGCTGACCAAAAAAGTAGATTAGTAGAGCAGTGGTATCTATGAACACTATTTGAATTCAGTTGTAAAATGTGGTTTATTTCTGTAATTTTCCTGCTTAAATGACATCTCACCACCTGCTGGAGTGTGTGGAGTAATTTCTCCTTTGTTATTTGTTAACATCATAACCTGACTACCTTTCATTTTCCATTTACACCCTAACTTAGTTATTTTCTACCACGCATAACATTTGTATTTTTCTAAGTGATTAATTTTATGCAATTCACTTTTATACGATGACTTTTTTTTTTTTTTTTTTTTTAATCTTGCCCTCTTTGCATTTCCTACAGAAGTCCCGGAGGGGATTTGGGAGCCAAAAAGAAAAAGAAGAAACAGAAGAGAAAAAAGGAGAAACCGTATTCTGGGGGCACCAAGTCAGATTCTGCATCTGATTCCCAGGAGATCAAAATTCAGCAGTCTTCAAAGGTGAGAGCCGTGTTTTATTTCCACCTGTGCACCGGTGGGTTCTCGCAGCTTAGCGCCCTGGTGCGTCAGATGGGTGAGGGTTTTGTTGTGACCGTGTGTTGAATGGCACCAGGGCCTGGTGGCCATTGACAGCCTCCTTAAACCTGACATTGGCACCCAAGTCACTGAGAGGTACATCGTGCTTTTGTGTGTGCATGTGCCTATAGCTCTTGTATCTCCCCCTTTTAAGCGAGTGAGTATTTCAGGGGTCCTCAAACTATGGCCTGAGGGCCACATGCGGCCCGCCGAGGACATTTATCCCACCCGGCCCGTCGGGTGTTTTTGCCACCGCTGCCTGTCCTGCTTAGCAGCCGACTCGTCCCGGGCCCACAGTGCGCATGTGTGGAATGTGCGCCGCACTCTCCAACGGGCTGAGGGACAGTGGACTGGGCCCCCTGTTTAAAAACTTTGAGGACCCCTGCTAGATTATAGTTGTAGAAGAAAGAAAGTGTCAGCGTGAGCTTGTTAGGTTTCATTGAAGTTACACTTGATCATTTGATGACTCTTCGTTCGGAAGATATTCACGTCTTAATTTTTCTGGGTGTCTGTCTAATTACCTGCATAGCCCAACGCCATCTGGCAGCAGAGCTCGGCGACAGAAGCCGTGGGTAAGTGCAACGTGGACTTGGACTCAGACCTGTCTTCGGCGGCCATCCTTCCTTCTGCGGCCAAGGGTGGGGCATCTACTTCCTAACATCCTCCCTGCAGAAACGCCCGTTTTAGACCGACCCAGAAGTGGTGCAGCTGGGCCCGGTGCTGGCTCGCAGCCGGCCGAGCAGAGGGTTGGTCGCGCCATGCGGGCGTCTGGTGGCACAGATGGCAGCCGCCCCCGTCTGCGGAGCCCAGCCCCAGGTGGCCTGTGTGCGCGGGGCCTCCAGGAAGCACAAAGCCCTCCTGATGCACGAAACTCACAGTGACAGGGTACACTTGGAAGGATGACGGAGTGGAGATGATTTCGATGACTGCAGCTCCATGTCAGTTACCATGGGCAGCGTGTGATGTCACGGACGTGGCTCAGGGTGGCGGCGTCAGAGACCTCCTTGCTCCCTGCTCGTGAGCTGTGTGTCTGTGGCCCAGATATGCTGTCCCTCCTTCACCCCGTTTCCTTACCTGTGACACGGGGATGATGCCTTCTCCCCAACTCACAGGTCACGAGATTAAAATTCAATCCTTTTTTTAATTAAAAAGAGTTTTTACATGATAAATCACTGTGTATATGGCAGTTACTACCGTGATGCAAGTTTTGTGGGTTTACATTTTTTTTCCCTTATGCAAAATTAATCTTCCATCGCATGGAGTGTGAGCTGAGCCTGGCAGGTAGTTGTGTTATTGTTGCCGTCACCTGTTTCACACAAAAGGACCAGGAATCACTGAGAAGGAAAATTCCTTACCCCAGTTTTATCCTGACTGATGGTGGGGAGAGAAGAAAGTGGAGTCTTCCTCCCCAGGTTTTCAACTTGATTTCCAGGTAATAAATATTCTGTCCGCTAGACATAGTTTTTCCAAGGTAACTCGTAGGGGAGGATACCACTGTAAGCTTGCAAATTATTCTTCTGGTTTCTCAGCATTGCTTCATCAGATAAACACATCCCTTGTCTGCAGCGTGGCATATCCTTTGCTTCACATCACCATCAGCTTCTGCCCTTCCCTTCTACCCTGCTGATTTTAAGCCTTTCTCCTACCCCTGGTCACTTACAAGAAACTAGAGCAAACAATCCAAAACTATAATGAATCGGAAGAAAAGGACTTTGTTAAATGTGTGTGTCATTAAGATACGAGCCTTGATTTTGATCCAGATCAAAATGTAAGAGAAACAGCTTACATACCTAACAGAGGAAAACTATCTAACAGGAAAATCCAAAACAAAAACAAAAAACAGCTTGCAAACAAACACTGCGGCAATCCTGGGTTATGCCGTTAGACTTCTAAGCGGAGACATTAAGATTTCATCCTGCCTCCAGTTAGACTTCAGGACTTTGTTTTCTTGCATCATTTTAGTGTCAAGAACCCTAAGAAAACCCAGCAAAACATGCAACCACAGGCAGTCTGTATTAAATAAACCCTGTTCTGTTCTGTGTCAGACAAGTAAGTCTTCCCAGGTTAAACCTATTTGCTCCAGACCACAGATTACAGAGTCCAAGTTACACCTGAGTCCAAAGTCACCATTTACCAACTACTGAGGGTCGATTGTGCCTTTTGCTGGTGTCCATGGTGTGTTGACATAGGACAAAACCAAAGGGCTCTGGTGTTTCTTATAACTGCTTCTGAACTGTAGCAAAGAATATTGTTGGTATCAGAATTCTGCACCTTCTCAGTCATTTTGCATATTGAAAAAAAAAAAGTCACTGATGTCCACTTTCAGTCCCCTGCACTGCCCTCTCATGTCAAGTACAGTCTCATGTTCTATGGACGATCACATTATTTGAGGGATTTAAAGAAAAAGAGCCAGGGAATCTTCAAGTGGCGATGGGAATCTTGGCTTCGAGAAAGGAACTTTAAAGGTGGTGTTCGTTTTATAGACTGAGAATGTGGTTTACGTAAAAAAGAGGCTTGGTTCCCAGCACTTGGGTTGGGGACAACAGGTATGGTTGTCAAGGATCTGAATTTCCGGAGGAAACTGCTCTTCCTCCTGGCGGGAGGGTTTGTCTCAAGAGGATCGTGAGTATCTAGAGAAGGGCACGGGGTATCCAGGAGGAAGGGGCTTAGTTAGCGGTTTCCTTTCTTGATCATTTCCTTTCCAGCTCAGCGTTAAGTTCAGATATCTTTCCTTTTTATTTATTTATTTTTAAATGAATGACAATTTCCCCCGTCTGCCTAGTTTCCATTGTAGAAGTTATTTCCCTTCGTCTCCGCATTGCTTCTGCAGAGCGTTTTCCCTGACGGTGCACCCCAGGCTGGCGGCTGCCTGGCTGCTGCGTGACAGTAATGCATGCATCGCCCACGTCACCCCTTTGGCCTCTCCCCCCACAGGGGCAATGCCAGGGACCACCTGCAGGTGGATGGGAAACAGAAGCAAAGAGCGCTTCGCTTCCATATCCTTACGTTCCCCAGGCGGACTGTAGAACTGCCGCCGCCGTCGTCTTTAACAGAAAATGAGTGCTTATGTTTTCGTGTGTCACACGCTTGAGCCCGTGGCCTTGACCTGCCTTGGCGGGGGATTGCTAGTTTCTAGGTACTGTAGTCTCTCCCAGGCAGATCACGTGGGCATCGGCCCCAAGTTGAAGGGCACGGCGGCTGTCTCACGGTTCGCGTCTCTTGTCTTTGCTCTCGCAGAACCCCAGCATTCCCATGCAGAAGCTGCAGCACATCCAGAGAGCAATGGAGCTGCTGTACGCCTGCCACGGCCCCGCCAGGAGCATTGACGAGGCCGCAAAGCACAGATACCAGTTTTGGGACACGCAGCCGGTGCCCAAGCTAAGTGAGCGTCCTGCTTTTTTTTTATTCCCCCCCCCCCATAGAAACAAAACTGGATGAACAAATAAAAATCACAAAAGAGACTTTACTTCACGTATAGCGTTTGTTTCAGACCACTGACTTGAAATGTACACGAAAGTAACATTTTTCTTTTTAAAATATAAATATTAGGTAGTGACACTGGCTTTTGAAAAATATTAGGTAGTTAAAATATTAGGTAGTGACACTGGCTTTCGATAACAGTGATTTTAGTCCAATTCCTAAAATATTAGGTAGTGACACTGGCTTTCGAAAACAGTTATTTTAGTCAAATATTTGGTAGTGACACTGGCTTTCGATAACAGTGATTTTAGTCCAATTCCTAAAATATTAGGTAGTGACACTGGCTTTCGATAACAGTGATTTTAGTCCAATTCCTATCCCTCTAAGAATACCCAATTTCGGCAGGGCGCGGTGGCTCACGCCTGTAATCCTAGCACTCTGGGAGGCCGAGGCGGGCGGATTGCTGGAGCTCAGGAGTTCTAAACCAGCCTGAGCAAGAGCGAGACCCGTCTCTACTATAAATAGAAATAAATTAATTGGCCAACTGATACATATACAAAAAATTAGCCGGGCATGGTGGCGAATGCCTGTAGTCCCAGCTACTCGGGAGGCTGAGGCAGCAGGATTGCTTGAGCCCAGGAGTTTGAGGTTGCTGTGAGCTAGGCTGACGCCACGGCACTCACTCTAGCCTGGGCAACAAAGCGAGACTCTGTCTCAAAAAAAAAAAGAATACCCAATTTCCCCATACTTAAGAAACATGAGATTTTGAAGAATGTATATAAAAGAGGGAGTCCCCCACCCTCATTCTTTCCTTCTGGGCTTCATGGAGTTGTTTTTCCTGCGTGTGTGTATATTTATATATATATATAAATGAATTTTTAGCAGTTTCAGTCCTCAGTTCCAAAAGACTCAAAAAAAAATGTGCTCAATTCTATCTTACTGAAATGGCAAGTTTTGAACTGTTTATCAACAGGATTCTGAACGCTCACCGATGGCGTTAATTAGTATCTGTTAAATATCACCACTGTCGTTCATGAGTCTGAACTCTAGAATGTTCCGGTATTGTAAGGGACTTAGGACACCTCAGAAGGCCTTTGAAGGGCTCTAGTTCCTCTAGGAAACAACCACAGGGCCCTTCTGCTGGCCCTGTGCCTGCTTCCTTACATTTCACTTGGACTGTTACCAGTGAAGTTGCCATAATCGTTCTTTCACTGTTCTCCTTTTACATTGGGCAGAAAAAAGGTGATGTTAACAAATGCCACAAAAGTGTTCAGAAATGTACTACAACCTACACCTGCTGCTTTGTCTTACGTGCATATGAAGATAGAGTGTCATATAATTATTTTTATTTTTTCTTTCTTGATTGTTTAAGTTCGAGAATCCATATCATATAAAGGGTTAATTGCCATCCAAAAACCTTAATTATTCAGCGATGTATAAATAATGTTTTGTCAAATATAAATCAGGGCGCAACCCTTCTCTGCACCCTTGAATATCGGTTCTCAAACTTTTTTAAAGCTACCACCTCTCTGCGCCACCCTTCCCCACCCCAAACAACTTAAAAAGAACGTTCTTCTGAATGTGAAAGAAAAAAGAGAGATATGATCTGAGCTTGCCCTTTTTCTTCTTCTGGCTCTAGAAATGTCTTTAGTAGTGGAGGAAGACTCTCTAGAACGAACTGATGGGATATTTAGTGACGCTGAATTTGAGTGACCATTAGCCGAAGGGCTCTGGATGTATTGATCTAAATGCATCGGGGTTAGCCCAGCACTGCTCGGAGACCTGCAGGTCCACTCTGTGGAGAAGAAAGCCACTTTCAACCGGAAACCCCAGGCACTTCTTTGGGAAGACGGCCCAGGAGCTCCTGAGCTGTGGCCGTTCCCTACCTTGTGTGGCTCTCCAGTCCTTGCGTTCTTGGCAGGCAGCTCAACACAGTCGAAGCCAGAGTAGGTCAGAGAGGCCAGGTTGGTAGAGGGACAGTGAGCCTGAGGTCGTGGAAAACATCCGGAAGTCAGGGGGGCTCTGTCTCTCCATGCCTGCCCATCCCAAGGGGTGCCCCAGCTCAGTCCAAACACACCCATCTGTTCAGAGCCACTTGCAGGACATTGTCCCTGGAATGCTCTGTGAGAGCCATGTGCTAGGCAGTGGTCACCAGGACTCTGTATGGGAGTGACTGGGAATTTGTCCACTTAGGCCGATTTGAGAAAGCCCAGGGTATCCGGTGGAGATTAACTGGGAAATTGGAAACAGGCATAACCAAGTTAGGGGCTAGAAGGAAGAGAAAAAGAAACCCACTGGAGCTGGTGCAGACCCTTCTAACCTGCAAGAATGTTCTGTAATAGAAGAACCAGGCCCTGAGGGTCCTTCATGCAGCAGGTGTTGATTGCGTGTCTGTTATTAAGTGCCAGGCGCAGTGAGGGGGTCCATCCCATACCTGGGACACAGCAGTGGAAAAGTAGGACAGAAGGCGGCCAGGCAGGGGGTGGCAGGAGGACGTGCTTGAGGTAGCGCAAAGCTTTAGTCCTGGAAAGAGCCCGGGAGAAAGCGATGTGTAAGCTCCCATCTGATAATGTCAGGGGGCCTCCAGGAGAGAGAAGATGCCAGTAAGGCTCTGGGCTAGGGTGAGGCAGGCAGCGGCCACGCACAGGGCTCGGGTTCTGTCCCCACTGCGTTGGGAAGCTCTGCAGAGAATGAACCGGAGAAAGGCATCATGGTAGAAATTGCAAGAGATCGTGATGGCCTGGACTGAGCTGCTAGCAGTACAGACAGGGAGAAGTAGCCAGTCTTGAATTGGATTTTCAGTTTTGCTGGGCAGGGCAAGGGGGGGACAGAGGTCACTGCAGCCCTTCCCCCACCCCAGTTTGTGGAAGTGCAGAGTAAGAAGAGGACATCCTCAGTTATTTCGCACCACTGCCTAGCTTTCCTGTTTCAGTCCAGAAGAAGCTGAAGTTATAGCATCTTCTTAAAGATTATATTAAGCCCAGGGGCTTATATTAAGTCTGATTTCTGTTTATGTCACTGACCGTTTTGGATCGTCAGGATACTTTGTAATTTAATATATATATATATATTTCTTTTTGTCTTTTTCTCTTTCTCTCCCTGTCCAGATGAAGTCATAACATCTCATGGCGCAATTGAACCAGATAAGGACAACGTACGCCAAGAGCCGTACTCTTTGCCACAGGGCTTCATGTGGGACACTTTAGACTTGAGTAATGCGGAAGTGGTGAGTACAGCTCTTGAATTCAATGCCCATGTTCACACACCTGTCGCTTGCGAGTTGGTTCTGAGCGCCATAGATAGGACGCTGGTTTTATCTCGTAGCTCAAGGAGCTGTACACGTTGTTAAATGAGAATTACGTGGAAGACGATGACAACATGTTCCGCTTCGACTACTCGCCCGAGTTCCTGCTGTGGTAGGTCTCCCTGGTCACCGGTGGCATGCACAGCGGGGGTCGGGTTGGGACCTCGTGTCGGCGTCTGTCCCCACATTCTTGGACGGTAACTGGTGCCTGTTTCTCTCGCCCACCCTGACTCCAGGGCTCTGCGTCCCCCAGGCTGGCTCCTCCAGTGGCACTGCGGGGTCCGAGTGTCTTCCAATAAAAAGCTGGTGGGGTTCATAAGCGCCATCCCAGCGAACATTCGGATTTATGACAGGTACATGTCAAAGGTTGTCCGTGCCAGCTTTTGTGTGCTTCCTTTCCAAGAATTGCAATTAGAAAGGGAAATTTTTAAAATTACCAGATGTGAGCTATTGTTTGTGGAGCAGGTTTTGCATGTATGTAGGAGAACTCGATCAGTTTTGCTGGGAACCTAAAACTGCTCTAAACAGTAAAGTTTATTAATTAGTAAAGAAAAAGAAATCTTGGACTGTGAACCCGATAGAAAGGACAACGAACTCTCTCTGTGTTTCTCTCTTTATCTCTCTTTTTCTCTGTCTCAGTTTATACATGTACATGTTATATCTTCTGTACATATACATATATGTGTATATATGTATGTCTCAGAATAAACAAAGCCATAAATGGGTATTCCAGGTTTATTTCTAGAAAAAAAAATGACTTAAGAAAAATTTTAGAAGGGATAAAAACTGTCTCTCCATAGCATAAGCATGTTGCATTTTTCCTCTGATCTCCAGCCCAGGGAGTCAAAGATCTAACGCATAATAGGTCTGTTTACCTTTCGGTACATCAGGTTAGCTTATTTACTGCTAAAAACATCTGATCTTAAGGAATATCAAGCCCCAAGTGAAATGCCTGCTTACCTGGAAGCAGAGCCAGGAGCAGGCTTTGAGGTCTGGTCAAGGCCCCTCAGAGCAATCCTGGGGATTTGTATTATATTCCAAAGCAACATCTTATCAGATTCTATGCCATGCTTGACCCACTTATTACCATAATTATATATATTACAAGAAAAACAGATATAGAAGATTTAAGGGACACATCTGATCCAGTTTCCAAGTTGAAAACTTGCAAAAGACCAAAGTCCTAAAATGTATTTAGAACAAGAGGGTTTGGAGCCTCTGTGGCGTAGTGTTACAGTCATTTTAGCAGGGGAATAGTGTTTCAATCCGAATTTGCAAAATGTCTAAATGCTACAACATTTTTTCGTAAATATTGCGTTAAAGGACACCTTTCGCGATCCTAAGTCTTCGCAATTTTATGGGCATGATCCTGTTTTTTAAAATGTGTTTATCTTGTATGGGCTCTGATTTTCAACATCTTTATTTCTCAGTGTCAAGAAGATGGTAGAAATCAATTTTCTTTGTGTCCATAAGAAATTGAGATCAAAGCGGGTGGCCCCAGTGTTGATCCGAGAGATAACTAGAAGAGTGAACTTGGAAGGAATCTTTCAGGCCGTGTACACCGCTGGAGTCGTTCTTCCTAAGCCGGTGGCCACGTGCAGGTAATAGCACCGCCTCCCTGCCTCTCCTTTACCAACTGTGTTGAGCCTCACTGCCTTTTGCTAGAAGTATTATTCCGCTCGGGGGTAACTCAGAGGCATTTTGCCTTACTCGTGATTGTATAGTTTGTTGGTAGCTGCAGAAAGCCTAAAACCACTTGAGTCCAATATTCTTTCCAGTATCTCCTACAGCCACTTGGTGATTAAAAAAAATTTATGACATTTTCCTGCTAATGATGCTGGATCTAGACTTGTGTTTCTAGTCCTTGTAAAAGACTAGTTCTGTCCTGCATGGGGAGCCCTAGGGCATTGTGACTTTGAAATGTCCAATGTCGTACCATTTTCTTCTACCCAGCACTCAGTTTCTGCCATGCTTTGAGCTACTGAACTACTGCAAAAGCCTGATAAACATCAGTCGAAAGGCTGCAGGTGTACTTGTGTGCTCAGAGTGAGAAGAAGGCTCAAGCTTTGTTTTTACAACTTCCTCTACTCTAGTCAAGCTTTCGAAGGTTATTCCAGTGAGAAAAATGATCGGATTGCCACTGGACTAACCTGTTTCTAAAACATCAGAAAGATTATCTCCCTCCACTGATTTTATTGACTCAAATAGGACGAAATAATTTTAAACACAGTATAAACAGTAACACTGTAAAATGACTATATCCTATTAAATTATTACATTCATAAGTAAACGGAATAAAAGACTTCACAGGTATATTTTAATGCAAATCAATTATCCCAGTACCCAAACTGGAATCACTTAAGAAATTCAAGCTAGTTGAATTCAAAAAGTTGTTTTCTTTCGTATGTATTCTGTAAAAGTGAAGGCTACTCACTGAGGGGAAGTGTTTTCATGTTTTTAAGCTTTTTGGTTTGCCTTTTGTAGAATCAACGATGACCATTAAATACTTGCAAAGCTGGGCATGACTAATATTTCTTTTGTGATTTTTAAGATTCCTCTTTGTCGAAAGAGGTGAAAGGTCACAAACTCCAAAGGAACATAACTAGGAATGCAAGAGATATTTCAGAGATAAAATTGACCCATAAAATTATTGCCCAGGAAGAAGCCCAGTGTCTGGCACTGCGCCAGGCACCACATAAGTATTCAGCACTTGCTTATGTAACAGCTGAGCTGAGACAAAGAGTGAACACCTGTAGAGTTAGAGATCAATTCGATTTTAAACCCTTTATTGTATTCCAGATACTGGCATCGATCACTAAACCCCAGAAAATTGGTAGAAGTGAAATTTTCTCACTTGAGTAGAAACATGACCTTACAGAGAACAATGAAGCTGTACAGACTTCCGGATGTAAGTAAGAACCATTTGCGGTTTTTTGAAGCTGTAACAACTGAAGCTTTTAATGCAGAAAAGAATCGTTCGCAGGAGTCTAACAACTGACTCGTGTGTCCAAGGAAGTGAGTATGTAGCTATAGAAACTGCATAGAACTCAGGAGCTAGGAACAGTAGGGAGTTCGTTTGGAAATACCTTTTTTTTTTTTTTTTTAAGGCTTTTAAAGTTCTTCATTTTGTAGTTGGATGAGATTGAACTTGAGACAGATAAGCTTTGAAATGTGGAGTCTTTATGGTGTGTTAAGTAAGAGGGGAGAAAATTTCAGGCTGCTGCTGATTTCTTAACACCCTGGAACTAAGGAATCAAGTTGAGAGGAGAAACCCAGGCAGAGGAAATAATGTCTCATTAAATTACCATCTTTTCAAACTGGCAAATTCCCAATATGAAAAGTTGTCATCTTAATAGGGATAATTGAAAATGTGCTTTCCTGTCTTGGCTTGATTTGGTGCGTGGATGGTTTACTAGTTACCTCTTGCTGTGTAACAAATCACTGCAAACTGAGCAGCCTAAAACAACATTTGTGATCGCACGGTGCTGAGAGTCTGGGATCAAGGCACAGCTTAGCTGAGTTCTCTGCTTCAGGGTCTCTTGTGAAGCTGCCCACCAAGATGTCAGCCAGGGCCGGGGTCTCCCCCGAAACTTGACCGGGGGAGGGCCCACTTCCGAGCTCGTGTGGTTGTTGGCAGGAGGGGTTCCTTGCTGGCTTGTGGACCAGGGGGCCTCAGTTCTTTGCCAAGTGGGCTTCTCAGTAGGGTGGCTCACAGCACTGCAGCTTGTTCATCAAAGCCGGTGAGAGCCTAGAGAGAGAACCTGGTAGCAAGATGCAAGTCTGAACCTTATGTAAGCAATTCACGAAAGGGACATCCAGTCACCACTGCCATTTCTGTTGGTTAGAAGCAAATCACAGGTCCCACCCGTGTGCGCCAGGAACAGATCACACAGGGTGTTGACTCCAGGAAGTGGGATCCCTGAGAGCCATCTTGGAATCCGTCTGCCACAGATGGGGTTTTTTTGTTTGAAGTATTGCTCCATTTAAATTGAAATGGAAACTTCAAGCATGCCTGCTTTTTTTTTCACTATGGGATAATGCTATCCTATAATACTCAGGTCTCCCCACATTTCACTGTCTTGAACCTAAAGCAGTCTAACTTATGTACAAGGAAAACCCCCACTTTTACAAGTAGGTTGGCCAACATGGAATGAAGAATGAGGAGTTTTCGTACCTGTCACTGGTTTATTACTCAGGATGGTTTTCTAAGGTGCTAAAAGTATTTTTGACTTGACTCTGTCTATCACGGACAAGAAAGTTTTGAGAAGTTGGTGCTATGCTAAATCACTGGGGAGGCATTGGTTGTGAAACCGCACTTTGGCATCTTGTTTACACTGAACCCAGCTTCCTAATGTAGCAATCCAGCCGTGTTGTTGTGATGACTGCCTTTTGTTCCCCCAAGAAATTGAAGTTTATCGAGTGCTTTCACATACATTGTTCAATATATTCTCACAGCAACCTTTCGAAATTAGTACTTTTTTGTCCCCATTATACAGACGGGAAAACTGAGGCTCATGAAGGTTGGCACTTAGGTGAGGGCACATCACTAAGAAGTGGAGACTTGGGCTGCAAGCCCCAGACTTCTGTGTTTCTGCGGTTTTATCCCTTTGCTTCTCCTGTCCCCCCAGCCCAGCCCCTGGAGGGGCACCGTGCCTCAGTGCCACCAAGTTTCCCACTGTGCAGTCACTGCAGCATGGGTTAAGACAGAAAAGGACGATTGTCAGGGTCCCACCAGCTCTCACTGGCTTGATCCAGTCTCTCCCCCCACTTTGAGTCATAGAAAAGGAAAGGAAAATAAAGAGTAAGTTAATAGGAAAAAAGAGAGATGAAAATATAGATGTTAGGAAATCAGAAGGTGCCAACAGTCTCCTGGGTATCTGCCTCATGAATTAAAAGCTGGACAAAGTAGCATATATGAGACTTTCTCTTTCCCTTTCTGCCTGCAGTGCAGTGGTGCAATCATAGCTCACTGCAGCCTCCAACTCCTGGGCTCAACTGATCCTCCTGCCTCAGCCTCCCAGGTAGATGGAATTACAGGTGCCCTACCAGGCCTGGCTAATGTTTTTTTAAATTTTTTTTGGTAGAGGTGGGTCTTGCTGTGTTGCCCAGGCTGGCCTCCAACTCCTGAGTTCAAGTGATCCTTCTGCCTTGGCCTCCTGAGTTGCTGAGATTATGGGCATGAGCCACTGCACCTCGCAGTTTTTTGTTTTTGGGGTTTTTTTTTTGGTGTTCAGTCTACCATCAGCGTCCTAGCATTGTACTGAAAGAAGGACATGTTCTAAGACACATAAGGTGTTCTATATTTAGTTCTATATTTAGTGGCATGTGATTTTTTTTTTTAGTGTTTAACATTCTACTGCTCCTTTTTTAATCCTATAAATAACCATAATCATTGCTTACATCTCCACTCTGGAATCTTGGCTTAAAACAGTTCACGCCATGGACTTTGACAGCTAACACTACTTCTGTTTTTTCGTAGACCTCTGAGCTTTTATTTCCTCATGCACTTGTAAACAGATCTTACACAGATTTCAGTAAACGTAGAGTCCAGCAAATAATGGATATCAGTTGGGCCCCACAGGAAAGGATACCTGATTCAGACACAGAGTTTGCTGATGAAACTAAAGAGTTTCTCACTTGCTAGAAATATTTATTTGCTTTTTATTGAACTCACAGAGAACATAAGCACTCCCCTCTCCCCGACTATACACAAGCTTACCATTTTTATCTAAGCCTAACAGTCCTCCCACTTCTTCCTGAAAACAACAGCTATGTTTTTGAGTGTTTATTTCACATTTTAAAAATTATTGCATTCTTTTATAGATTTTTTTAGCCATAGCTAGTCAGCAAAAGTACATATTCTTCCCCTGTTTTCTAGGACTTTATATATAGAAAGAGCTGACATGCTCTGTTGTTTTCTCTCCTTTAATGCTTCTGTAAGAACTTGTTTGAAATGCTTACAAATTGCCCAAGTTTACGATACTTTCTACCTGTTCGCCCAAACATACTGTTTCACTGAGTCTTCCTTGGTTAAATTCTTATTTTTCTGACCTTCAGAGACCTAACATAGCAGTTCTCAAAGTGTGGCCAGGGACCCAGGGAAGTCCCCGAGATCTTTGAATCCGTGAAGTCAACACTATTTTCATAACAACACTGAAATATAATTTGCATTTGTCACTTTTATTTTCTTATCATTGTACTATAAAGTCTTCCAGAGAGTATGTGGAATTTATACTTTTGTATTCTTTTGTTTTAAAATGTTCTCAGTTTCTCCTAGTCTCAAGGGCTTTGTGTCTGGACAGTTCTAGAAAGCAAAGTGATGTCAGGACCTTTTTGGAAGACAAGCAGTTGGACACATTCAAATGGGGACCTGTCCTGAACTTTAGGCTTTTTATTCTTATATACTAATTTTAAAATTATAAAGCTCTCTGGAGTGGTTATTAAAATGCCTGTGCTGATTACGTTTAATCAGAAGACATGGTACGAGAGGCCAGGCCCAGTTCTTGGCCATCATTTGCCTTTAGAAACACTTGGCTATTCAGTGCTCGCCTTCCCCTCCTGCTCAGGGTGATTTATTCTCAAGAGAACAAAATCGCTACACCCTTTTCATGGGCTAATGAAATAAAAACAAGTTTCTCCAACTGTGTTTTCAAAACATCAGACTTGGCAGTTTTAAAGCACAATGTGGTTGTCCCTCAGTATCCGTGAGGGGTTGGTTCCAGGACCCCCCTCCCCCAGATACCAAAATCCATGGATGCCTAATTCCCTTACATAAAATGGCATACTATTTCCATGTAAGTGACAGGCACATCCTCTTGTATACTTTAAATCATCTAGATTACTTATAATACCTAAGAAGGTATAAATGCTGTGTAAATAGTTGTTGTTGTATTAATATTTATGGAATAATGACAAGGAAAAAATGTCTGCACCTGTTCAATACAGATGCAGCCATGCATTTTTTTTCCTAAATATTTTTGATCTGCAGTTGGTCGAATCTACAGGTGCAGAGCCTGCAGATACAGGGGGCCGACTATACTCCAGAAGCCATGCTAAGATTGGGATGCCTCGTCTTGTAGGCTGTTTAAATTCTTGGCATCGGGCTAGAAATCAATTCCTAGTGTTCTGTTTGATTGTATCTGGGCCACGGGCAATACCGACCCAAGACCCGCTGCACAGAGGCAAGAAGATACAACACAGTGTCTAGCCTGTATTTCTTAACCCAGCACTTCTCAAACTTTAATGTGCCGGTGAGTCCCCAGGGAGGCTTGTGACATGGCAGATTCCCATGCGCTAGGTTTGGGGTGGGGTTGAGAGTCTGCGGTTCTAACAGGTGGCGCCGAGCCCGCTGGTCTGTGGACCACACTCTGGTCTGTGGACCACACTCTGGGCGTAAAAGTAGCTTTAAGTCCTCTTCATACGTCAGCCTCTGGGTCTGTTTTGTTTTTTCCCTCTCACAAGGTGACGAAGACTTCAGGGTTGAGACCGATGGAAGCGAAGGATATCAAAGCAGTTCGAGAGTTAAGCAACAGTTACCTGAAGCAGTTTCACCTCGCCCCCGTGATGGATGAAGATGAAGTGGCCCACTGGTTCCTCCCCCGGGAGCACATCATCGACACGTTTGTAGTGGAGGTAAAGACAAGGTGACGCGCGTGTGGCCTCTCCCTTGGGGCACCCTTTGTGTTCCAGCGTCCAGCAGAAGCGTTTATGCTTACTTCTTCCACTCCATCCCACAGCATCGCAAAGATGTGGACTGAAGTCTTGAGAGTTAATAAAATGAATAATTCATAATGTTTTATCAAGGTCATGCTTATATGAAACTGACATTTTTTGTCTTTGTGACAGAGTCTCGCTTTGTCGCCTGTGCTAGAGTGCCGTGGCATCAGCCTAGCTCACAGCAACCTCAAACTCCTGGGCTCAAGCGATCCTCCTGCCTCAGCCTCCCAAGTCGCTGGGACTACAGGCATGCGCCACCATGCCCAGCTGATTTTTTCTATATATATTTTTAGTTTGCCAATTAATTTCTTTCTATTTTTAGTAGAGACGGAGTCTCGCTCTTGCTCAGGCTGGTTTCAAACTCCTGACCTTGGGCGATCCACCCACCTCGGCCTCCCAGAGTGCTAGGATTATAGGCGTGAGCCACCGCGCCTGGCCGAAACTGACTTCTTTTTTTTTTAACTGTGAGGGTACATAGTGTTGAAGAATATGGTGACCACCACCACTATGGTTTGGTGCCACTAACTTATTTTGTGCTGAGGCACCAGCAGTTCTGACTGCCATTTCTTTTGCTCCATTAGTGCCAGTATCAACATGGTGAACAAGGCAGATAACTTCTTAGTGTTATTAGGGAAATAGTTTTGACTTCACAGATTTCTGCAAGGGTCTCAGTTATCCCCCTACATTTTGAGAACTGCTGCCTGGGGCATGTACTTAGAACTGCTAAGTCTAAGGGTCAGACCCATCTTTCACATTATTAGAATTGGGAAGTAGCTCACCAGAATAGCTCCTTAGCATTGTATGAGATTCCTGTGTCCTTGTGTCATTACTAACAAATGGGTAGTATCAGACTTTATATTTAGGCCCATCTGATATGAAACAGTATCTCCATTTTAATTTATATTTCCTCATTACTAATGCATTTGAATCTCATATATCTGTTAGCCATTTGTATTTCTTCTTGTATGAATTTGCTATTTGTATACCTTGCCTGTTTTTCCTTTTTTTTTTTTGAGACAGTCTCACTCTGTTGCCCAGGCTAGAGTGAGTGCCGTGGCATCAGCCCAGCTCACAGCAACCTCAAACTCCTAGGCTCAAGCATTCCTTCTGCCTCAGCCTCCCGAGTAGCTGGGACTACAGGCATGCACCACCATGCCCGGCTAATTTTTTTTCTATATATGTTAGTTGTCCAATTAATTTCTTTCTATTTATAGTAGAGACAGGGTCTTGCTCTTGTTCAGGCTGGTTTCAAACTCCTGACCTCGAGCAATCCACCCACCTCGGCCTCCCAGAGTGCTAGGATTACAGGCATGAGCCAACGCGCCAGGCCTTGCCTGTTTTTCTTTTTGACTGTAGTGTTCTTACTGATTTAGGGAAGTTTTTCTATATTCTGAGTACTAATATGTTGTATTATATATTCTATTTCTGGGTCCTGTATTCTATTCCATTCATCTTTCTGTCTGTCCCTCCATGCATACCATATTGACTTGATTACATCTATAGCTATATAGTAAGCCTTAATATTGAATAGAATAAGTCCTCCCATTTTATTGTTATTTGTCAAGATTGTTTCAGCTAATCTATTGCCTTTGCTTTTCCACATAAATTTTGGAATAAGCTTGTCTTTGTCTACAAAATACCTTGCTAGCATTTTGATAGGAATTATGTTAAACCTATAGATTAATTTGGGGAGAATTGAAAAGTCTTCTGATCCATGAATGTGATATGTATGTCTGTACATTGATTTAGATATGTTAACATTTCTTTTATCAGCATTCTACAACAGCATCCAGATCTTGTACCTGTTTTCTTAAGTGTATACCTAAATATTTCACTTTGTTTGCAGCGATTATAATGGTATTGTGCTTTTAATTTCAGTTTCTGTATGTTCATTGTCACTATATAGAAATGCATTTGCTTTTTTCTGTGTTGTTTTTAAAACCTTGCTGAAATCACTCATTAGTTCCAGGAGTTTATGTATAAATTCCTTAGGATTTCTCCATAGAGGATCGTGTCATCTGCAAATAAGGACAGTTTCATGGCTTCCTTTCCAATCTCCATTCCTTTATTTCTTCTTCTTGCTTTATTGCAGGAGATAGAACTTTCAGTGGTTTGTTGAATGAGAGTGGTGAAGGTTGATATCTTTGTCTTGTTGTGATATTAGGGGAAAAGCATCCCGTCTTTCATCATGAAGTATGATGTTGGCCGAGGTTCTTTGTCAGTGCTCCTTGTCAGTCCAAGGTCATTCCCCTCTGTTTCTAACTTGCTGAGAGTTCTTACGAATGGGTGTTGGATTTTGTCCAGTGCCTTTTCTGTTTCTTTTGATAATCATGTGATTTTCCTTCTTTAGTCCATTAATACGGTAGAATACGTTGATTGATTCTCAAATGTTGGATCCCTCTTGCATTCCTAGAAAAAAATCCACTTGGTCACAGTGTATAATTCTTTTTATATACATTGTAGTACTCGATTGCTAATATTTTGTTGAGTATTTATTGATTCACGAGAGATTCATCTGGAGTTTCTTTTATTATAACATCTTCGACTGGTTTAGATAAGGTAATACTGTCCTCATAATATGAGTTGAGAAGTATTACTTCCGCTTCTATTTTCTGGAAGAGATTGTATAGACGTGGTATTAATTCTTTAAATATTTGGTAGGCATCTACAATTGAAACCATCTGAGCTTAGACATTTCTTTTTGGGGAGTTTTAAAATAATTAAATGTCTGTAATGATTATTCAGATGATCTATTTCATCTTGAGTTTTAATAATTTTTGAAGAATTGGTCTATTTTCAGTTGTTGAATTTATTTTTGTAAGGTTGTTCATAGTATTCCCTTGTATATACTTTTAATTGCTGCAGGATCTGTAGTGATATCTCTTGTTTCCTCCCTGATACTGGTGATTCATATCTTCTCTCTTTATTTTTGTCAGTCTTGCTAGACTTGTATCAATTTTATTGATTTTCTTCCCAAAGAACCAGACTTTCGTTTTTTATTCTCTGTTGTCTTCTTGTTTTTAATAACATCTCTTTCTTTGCCCAAATTTTCCGTCTTTTCATTTGTTTCAAGAGAACTTGTGATTAATTGAAGCATTTCTATGGTAGCTGCTTGCTTGGCAATCTCGCCAGATCATTCCAACGGCCGATTCATCTCAGTGTTGGCCTCAGTTGGTTGCTTTTGCTTATTCAAGTTGTGATTTTCCTGGTTGTGGGTATGACAGGTGACTTTCTCTTTTATCCTAGATATATTGCCCTTTATGGGAGGAGACTCTGTGTCTTAGTAAAGTTTTTTATTTCGACAGGTAGTCACCCTGTTGATGTGCACGTGCAGGTCTTGGCTGCTTTGTTAGCGCTTGTTCTGATGACAGTTTGTCAGAGCCTTCCCAGTTTTATATGGGTCTGCTGGTGTCTATGGGACTTCCACTGGCCCTTAACTGGTACTGTCTGCAGGGTTGGCAGGGGGCTCCCCAGGCTGGGCTGTCCGGGGTCTTTCAGAGTAGGATGGGAATTTCAAAATTGTGCAAAGAGGCTTTCCTGGTGGCACTAGTTGTGGGCAGGGTCCCCCTGCCTGAAGCAGTGCGGGGAAGTTGGAGAGTTTGGGGCCCGCCAGTGCAAAGAGCTTCCAGCAGGGTGTGAGTGTTTGTTGTGGCGAAATCCTTCTCACCAGTACTGCCCAGCTGCCCTGGTGCGTGTGTGTCTATGTGTACACACACACACACACACACACATACACACATTTTAGTTTTGTTCCTAGGGACATTATAGCTTTTGGTAATGTTATAAATGGAATTTTTAAAATTATTATTATATTTTCTAATGGACTTAAGTTGGTAAATAGAATTACTAAGGATTTTTGTAGGTTAATCTTGTATTTAGAAAATTGGCTGAACTCTTACTAGTTCTAAGATTTTGTTTAGCTTTTCTGTATGTCCAAACATATTATATGCCAATAATTATACTTTTAGTTTTCCTTTTTAATCCTTATAGGTCATATTTGGTTTTCTTTTAGTATTACAGTGGATAAGCTATATAGTACAAAATAAATAAATATCAAATGGACATCTTCATTTTGATCCTGACTGCAACATTAGGCATTAAGGAGTTTTTGCATAGGTGTTTTGGTAGATATTAAAAACCTTTATTTTGGTTAATCAGGTTCTTTTCTGTGCATTGTGTTCTGTTTTTTTAAAATCATGAGTTGGTGTTGAAATTTTTTGTCAATTTTACTGAGGTATAATTTACATAAAATGAAATGCGCAGATTTTAAGTGCACAGTTAGATAAGTTTTGACAAATGAATCCATGTAAATAACTACAACTCAAATCAAGATAAAGAATCCACAGAAAACAATGGTGAATTAGCATCTCTTGTATTATCCTGGATGGAGCCTAGAGCACATTCTACTAAGCGAAGTATCACGAGAATGGAAAAACAAGCTCCACGTGTACTTACCATCAAATTGGTATTAATTGGTCAACACTTATGTGCACATATAGTAGTAACATTCATTGGGTGTCTGGCAGGTGGGAAGGGGGATGGGTAAATTCATACCTAATGGGTAAGGTGTGCACTGTCGGGGGGGGGTGGACATGCTTGTAGCTCTGACTAGGGTGGGGCAAAGGCAATATATATAACCTAAACATTTGTACCCCCATAATATGCTGAAATTAAAAAAGAAGAATCCAGAAAGTTTCCCTATGTCTTTTTGCAGTCATTCTCTTTGTTTTCAAAATTGTTTCAGCTCTTCTAGGTCTTTTGTATATCTGTATAAATTTTGGAATCAGCTGGTCTGTTTTTACCACAAAAGCCTGCTGGGATTTTGGTTGGGATTGCATTGAATTTATAGATCAATTTTAGGAGAAATTGATGTTCATAATATTGAGATATCTAATCCATGGATACTGTATAATTCTCCATTAATTTCTTCTTTAATTTCTCCCAGTATGTTGTAGTTTTTGGTGGGGAGGACTGGCTCATCTTTTATTAAATTCATTCCTAAGTGTTTCATGTTGTTGGATATTCTGGTAGTTTGTATTATCTTATTCATTTCACTTTACCTGCCGTCACCTTTGTTTCTCAGAGCTCCAGTGGAAAACTGACAGACTTCCTGAGCTTCTACACTCTCCCCTCAACAGTGATGCACCACCCGGCTCACAAAACCCTCAAAGCTGCCTACTCTTTCTACAACATTCACACGGAGACACCCCTGTTGGACCTCATGAATGATGCACTCATCCTGGCTAAGTCGGTAAGTGATTCATTCCTTTTTGTGCTGTTTGGTTCCCCAAATGTGTATGCCAAAGTATATGAAACAACATACTGTATTTTGCTCCACACAGGTGGAATGGAATGCATACAAGATTTTTTTTTTTCCACTATTGAGCATCAATCAAAGGAAGAATTTTGACAAGAGCTTCTTTTAAAACTTAAGTGGCTCTTTGTCATTAATTTTATTACACCTTAACAAAAAAGGCATTTTATACAAATCAGGAAGAGCACATAAAAGCCCATGATAGGCTGGGCATGGTGGCTCTCACGCCTGTAATCTTAGCACTCTGGGAGGCTGAGGCGGGGGGATCACTCAAGGTCAAGAGTTTGAAACTAGCCTGAACAAGAGCGAGACCCCATCTCTACTAAAAATAGAAAGAAATTAGCCAGACAACTTAGCCGGGCATGGTGGCGCATGCCTGTAGTTCCAGCTACTCGGGAGGCTGAGGCAGGAAGATCGCTTGAGCCCAGGAGTTTGAGGTTGCTGTGAGCTAGGCTGACACCACGGCACTCTAGCCTGGGCAACAGAGTGAGACTCTATCTTAAAAAAAAAAAAAACCCACAATATAAGGAAGGAATATAAGGAATATAAGAAAAAGACGTGATCCTATAATACAAGGCAAATATTTGAGTATACTTTGTGTTGGGTGAATAATTAATAGCAATAAGTTTTTTGATTCAATCAAATAGTCTGTGAATTTTAAAATTAAAGGAATTTAAAACCAAAGGAATTACATTCAAAATGTACATACTATATCTGTTGTTTTTCTATTTACCCAATGTAGAAGTTTGGATAATTGTTAAATTTTTGCTACAAATATATTTTTTCCTTTAAAAATAAATTTAATTCAGCTGAAAGATACATTTTGATGATACATATTGAATGTGGGAAAATTGTTTATGAGAAATTGGAAACAACACATCAAAAATGTCTTCCTTGTATTCCTCTAGTATTTGATAATTGAAAACGTCGTTTTTAAAAATCTGTTACCTGTACTTTTGGGTCTCCAAATCAACACTGTCCTCATATTGCCCATTTTCATCTACTTTCCCAAAATGGCTAGTAATAAGTTATTTAAGGTAAAAATTCTGAGAAATAAAAATTGGGGTGCTGCTTCTATATCACATTTTGCATAGTATTATTATCTAACATTTTAAAGAAATTTAATCTTTTACCATTGAAATCCTACTGAATTCATTTCCCATTATCATCCCAGGACAAATATAACTATATAAAGTCTTTACAACTGTGGTTCTGTGACAATAGCTTCAACCAAGTCAGGATTTAGAATGGCCAATAATGAATAATTCTGGAGATGGGACCATTTGATAACTGTTCCCTTCTAAAACAATAAAATATTTTCTGAAATAAGTTATTTTATATCAGTGGTAGCCATCATACTATATTTTTTTTTTGATTCAGCAATTTCTGAATTATCTTACTGACTTCATCAGATTCACTACTAGTTTTATATGACAATTTTCACCTGAATTCTTAACCTACACTATGTATTGCAGACATTAAGCCCTATTATAAATGCCTATCTGAGCTATTAGAGGAATTCAGTATTATTATGAATAATATGGAAAACAGTTTGGTCCTTTGATGTTTTAAATTTTATTTCCTTTTTTCCATTGGCAGAAAGGATTTGATGTATTCAATGCACTGGATTTGATGGAAAATAAGACATTCTTAGAAAAACTCAAGTTTGGTATAGGAGATGGCAATTTGCAGTATTACCTGTACAACTGGAGGTGTCCAGGAACAGATTCAGAAAAAGTAAGTGAAGCAGGTATATAGCCTTTGTAAACCCAATAAATTGACTTTGACAGTCCCATACTTGGACTACCCTTAGGATCTAGAGGGCTTTTTAAGTAAGCTTATAAAAATACAGATCTCTTTCCATAAACACAAATATTGGGGATAAAGGAAAAAAAAATACAGATCTCTTGTACTACATTGTAATTTAATTTTTCTTACTATTCCATTTATTCCCTCCCTTTAGGTTGGACTTGTACTGCAGTAGATGGATATTTTTATTTCTAGAACTCTGACATCATTTGTTACTATTCTCACGATTTCTGGAACTGCCATTCCAAAGAAGAATAAAAGCACAACTTAAAACTGAAGGTAGATAACAATCAGAAAAGATGGAAAAAAAATCCACATGTGACCAATAGTACACATTTCTAGCTAGGACATTCAAATTCATCCTTTTTTTCACTGTTTACCCATTTGTGGGAGGAATGAAAGGGTACAAAGAGCACATTCTTCTGATTTTCAAACTTTTGGTTGTCTCTTGATGAAGAGGGGTATTTTTCCACTCTCTAGAAAGGGGACCGTTTCTATGGACTAAACAGAAGTCACAAAATAGCGTAAGAAAATCTTTGGTATTGTGTGGAGATAAACTGCTGCATTTCTATTTATTCAGAATATTTGTCCCTGGAACAGAATGAAGGATCCATTTGGAAAATTTTGACTTGTATCATCTTACAAGGTATCATTGGGAACATTTGTGGAATTAACACTTCTGTGACTCAAGGACAAAAGTGGTGGATGTTGAAGTGTGGAACAATACAAAAATGTGCTGGTGACGGGTACATTGATTTCTCCCTAAGCAAAGTTGCCAAATCAGTAAACATACAAATTTATACTTTGATCTTCACCAGGTTGGTGAACTGTGTCAAAAGCAAAGTCCCGTGCACACACTGTGTGCTCTCTGTAAGACTAGACTTTTCTGCTGCTGCGGAAACTCCAGTTTCTTCTCAGCAACAACAAGGATCTATGTGAGGAAAAGGAAATAAAAGCTCTAAGTCAAAAGAGATGTGAAATTTATTAGTGCTATCAGGACATTGATAGTTTGAATGTTTTTATGACTTATGCAGAATTGCACATGTTCCTTTATGCTGACTTTAATTTATCATGAAAATTGTCATGCTAATGGAAAATGTCTTATTTGTAAATAAGTATTCATAATTTTGTTACTGATGGTGTTTTTACCTAGAATTTGAAAAACAGTTTCATAGTGTACATATATGTGTATATATTGCCCGTCACCCAAGGGAAAAATAAGATGCTACAAGAGGCCACATAGACTGGCCTTGTCTCAAACACCACAAAGTAGATACTAATTCCTGCCTTTACTATACCAGTGCCTAGGCTGTTCAGTGCAGAAAAAGTTATTTTAGATAACATGATGGCATTTCCTTCATGTTGTAAGTAGTCCAATGAAACCAATCATACCTTACACCGGGGAGGGGCCCTCAAATTAGGGCCCGTAGCCTGTTTTTGTACAGCCCAGGGGCTAAGAGTTTTTATTTTTTTGAATGATTGGGGGAAAAAAAGTCAAAAGAATAACACTTTGTGAAACGTGCAAATTATACAAAATTCAGATTTCAGCATCCATAGTTTTATTGGAACACTTTGGCCACACTTTATTCACGTGTGTTGCTTAAAGTTGCTTCACACTCAAAGGCAAGTTGAGTTGTAGTGACAGATCTTATGGCCTCCAAAGCCTCAGAGATTTACTGTCTTGTCCTTTACAGAAAGTTTGTTGACACTGATGTACACTAAGGGGTCAAAAGCTACTTTATATAGCTTGCCGTTATCCTAAAGACCAACCCACAGCTGTGGCATCCCTGAGACTACCATTAGAGGGCAGACTTGGGCCTCACAGTAGTGCATAATCAGGAGTAGCACTGTTCTTGGAGACTCATTGGAGGACTTCTCATTTTGGATAGTTCAAACCCAGTTGCATCACCAGTCTCTCCTAAAGGAGGAGAAAGGCTTCAAGAAACAAAACTGTACCAATTCACTGGAACATGTTTTTGAGACACCATTAAGTAAAAGAGATTTTGACTGAATCAGAGTTAAGACTCTAGTTAGGAACATAAATCCCACTCATTTTTATGGCACAGTCTTACACAAAAGGAGCTTTTCAAATAATTGCAGAATTGCCCGTCTGAAATTTTGTCATGAGCTTAACTCCTGATGAAACTGTTACACTGTTCCTTCAAAGATTTATGTAATTCCAGTTGTTTCAGAATTGATTTTACTCAATCATTTTTAAATACAGTAATTAATACCATTTGCCTCTTTATAATTTAAGCAGATTACCAATGAACATTTTAGAGAACCAGTAAAACTGCTTGTTTATAGAGTAGCTATTAAAATTAAATTCAAAGGCAATATATAGTCTTATAGATTAAAAAAGAACTACCTTGTCTTGCACTTTGTTATGAAAATGCTCTACTACATAAGGTAGCCTTACTTTTTTTTTTTTTTTTTGCCAAGATGGTATAAATAAAATTTAAATGAAGAGGTGGCATAATTCCTGAGTCAGCCAGAATTTAACCTGAAAAAACTTTTGGTAATCTATTTCCCCTAAATTATAGAAAGTGACTTTTTCAAACACACTAAGTAGCTTTGATTATGTTCCACTTCCTAACCTGAAGGACCCCTGTCATGGCACAGACCCACTTCTGAAAACCCAAGCTGCTTTTATTCTCTTTTTGCCACATTTCATCTAGTTACCATCAAACTTTTTATATGTGAAGATTTTCAAGGAAGTAAGCTAACCATGTAAAGGTGGGTGAATTTTAATTAGTCAAAATACCTTATCCGGCTTTTTCTATAAATATCACACCTTTCTTCCAAGTCCATGTCTATGCCTACCTACAAAGAAAGTTGAATTGACATGAAGTAAAAAATGTGTTGCTTTTGAAGACAATGTATTGCTTAGCATTTGGTATCCTTCCTTTAAAAGTGATAATGCTTCTCCAATCCAGTTTCACCTACCCAACCAACAAGAACCATGTTTACTGTGGCACACTTTCCAAGTTTGATAGAAAATAATGCTATGTGTTGTAGGATACAGATGTTCTTGCTTACAAGCATCGTACCAGCCTTTGAAAAAGTGAATTTATACAAGCATGGACATTAGTTTCAATAAACTTTTGTTTTGATACTCCTATTTTTGAATATTTTCTGCACTTAGTGTTTTTAAAGTTTCAGCACATCTGGGCCATACAGTTATAGTCTTACATTGTAAGGAACATTAACAAACAGGACCCTACAAATATATGTAAATATAAATCATTTTATTAATTTCAAGGCTTCTTTACAATGTGTCCTCTTTAAAAATTATATGAAATTACAAGTTTATACAAGATTACTTTGAAGTAGTCTTTTTCCTTTTGGATGGTTTCCTTATCTTATTGGGGTTTGGGATCAGTTTCTTTATTTTAAGGGGTTGTAAAGCTACAGCAGAAGTCGGCCCAGCAACAAACTTCCTCTTATGTTTTGAGAGATCTTCAAACGAAGTGTCCAAAATCTCTTTGTCTTGGCTTTCCAAAGATTCATGCTCTAAATTTTCCCTGGAATCTTCAATTCCACCTGGAAGCCATGGGACAATTAAACTGGGTACTCTGGGAGTGATGGCTCTTATTTCGTCAACAAAGTCAGTGGTGTTCTTTTTGAATCCCAAGGCTAGAACGCATTTTAAGCCAATGACCGGGGCGATTCTCTCGCTGAGCCTGGGAACCTGACAAGCGGGAACAGTTCTGCTCAAACTCAGCTGAATCAAGTGCGAGGTGATGATGGCGGGCTTGACTGACTTACACACGAGAACTAAAAGCAGTTCACTTCTTTCCAGGGCTCTGGTAACTTCATTCACACCAATGGCGAGCTGCTTCCTGACGTGCACGAGCGACCAGCCAGACACCTGCTGGCTGGCATCTACTTTTGTCTCCTTCAGATCCCCACTAACATCAACATCTGTGCTGCATTTTTCCCTTTCTTTTTTTAAAAAAGGTGTTTTTTTCTTTCTCTTCTTATCCTCAATCTTCTTAAGTCCAATAGACTTAAACCTGTCTTCAAGCGTCTGTAATATGAAGTGCATATCCTCTTTCTCTAGAGCACTCCAGCAGATAGTGTATGGATTGTTCAAAGATGGCTTTACGATTAAAGGCCTTGTTTTACGAACAGATCCCCTCCCTGGGGCTTGAGGAGCTGCAGCCATTCTGAAAATCCTTCGTGGAGAAGCAAAATGACAACAGAAAATTCATGTTAGCTTGAAATGCACATCTTAAGAATATCTTGGTTTTACTCTGAGTCTTGATAAACTAGAGCAAACCTAATTATGTAGGCCCAATGAGGTGACTATCCATGGAACCTCTCTTTTAAGATTAAATAACTTTAATCACTTTCCCTATTTTTTTTGCCCCATTTTGAATGCTTAGTTGAGGCTCTTTAAAATATTCAGGACTATGGGTGACCAGTGTTTGATCTTACCCTTTTCATGACTTTACTCATATACAGGCAATATGTGAATGGCATTATTGCAATCATAGTGTTCACTCATTTCATTTATTAAAAAATGTTCCATTTCTACATGTTCATAATTATCCTTTGAGTGGCTGTATGGTACTGTTACAGACTTGTTGCCATTATCCAAACTGCTCTCTAGTTGGGCTTCTATTCATTCATTTAACAAATATTCTCTGAGCACCTCCCGTGTGCAGGCTGTGCTCTAGGCACTGGGACTCTCAGTAAACAAGACCCCATGCCCACCTGCATGGAGTTCACAATCTGTAAGGACCCAGGAAGCCTCTGCTTTTCATAATTAACCAGCAGTGATTTTGGTCATGTCAGTATTGTCCACTGAAGCTGCTTCCTTCATGCCAGCCACATTGTGTGCCCCCCTCTTCCCCCCATTATCTCTGTGCTCCCCTGGAGCTCACAAAACCAGAAAGGGAGGCAGATCATCCAAATCCAATGTGGTGATTGCCAGTGACTGGCATCAGGTTCTAGATGGTCAAGAAGAGATAGATGACAGAGGGGCAAGACAAATAGGATCTAAAAGAGCTCTTGCCAAACTGCAAGTCCCAGATTATGTGTCTCAGCATCCAAACAACACGAGGTAAATACTTAAAATTATGTCCAAGGATATAGCAAGATAGGCAGTGACTTATGTCTGCACAATCTGGTGAGGAGAGGAAGAGAACCATGTAATTGGGAAAAGCAGCATCGCATGCTGTATAATGCGAAAACAAAGTACCAAAGAAGTAATCGTTTCAGAGAAAGGGAGAAAAATAAGAAGGCCTTGCTGAGGGGCCTTTTGAGCTCTGTCTGGGGCTGCCTACAGACCAAGTGCAAACTCTTTAAAGGGACATACAAGGCCCTCCATGCTCTGGCCCCAGTCTCCCACGAGGCTCCTTCTTAGGGCCTGCCATGCCCATGACACTCAACCCTGAACCACGTACTGTTACATGAGGCCACCAATTTCTCACCTCAATGTCTTTATGCTCATTATTCCCTCTGCCTGGAGTACCACTCCCACCCTCAGACCCACGACCACCTTTCAGACTTCACATATTTATGGATTGTCCACCATGCACCAGGCCATAAAGATGAAGTATTTCAATAAGGAACAAATAGTCACTAGCCTCAGTGAGGTTACAATCTATGAGAAAAACATTAGCAAGTGATTACGTTGTTAAACAGCAATGGCGTTTCTACGTCCAGCTGTCACACAAAGATCCAAGTATTGAGACAAGGATTGCCAAAGAAGAAAGGAATTTTTAATACCACAAATGTCTTCTCGGGAGAACGGGAAAAGCTGCCTCAAATCCGCCTCTGCCGGAGTACTAGTCCCGATCACACCCCGGGCGGCGTATGGCGCGTCCCCGGCACCCACTTCCGACTCACGATGGCGAGTCTGTCGTCATCAGCCGGCGACGGCGCCGGCTCCACGTGCGCCGGTGCTGCGCACGCGCAGAGTCGTCGCCTTCCCGGCTCCACCTACCAAATGCGGTGGGGCAGGGCGGAGCCGCTTGGAGCTCTTCCGGTTTCGTTATCCTGCGGTAGGTCACTCCCAAGGTGGGGGAAGTCGGACCAAAGCGTCGCGCGGCCAGGAAGCGACAGAACGAAGCCCCATCTTGAAAAACTTGAGTTTCAGACCCCAGGTTCCTGACAGGGCCCTAGAGCGGCAGTGCGCAGGCGCAGTGTCTGTCTCGCGATATATTCTGCGGTTGCCACGGTAACCTGCCGCTCGCGTACTGACTTCCTCTATTTGGGGGCCATCCTTTGGCTTGCGGTCTCCTGGAGGCTGGTGCTCTCAGGGCTCCGGCACTTTCTGCCTTTCAGCGCCCTGGAGTCTCAGTCCTCTACCTCTAATCGCTTTTCTGTCTCTTGCCTTGCCTTAGGGACGTGAAACCCTAGCCCCAGTCCCAGTGACCCATCCCCATCGAATCCCAGTAGACCCCCGGCACCGGGAAAATCAAGATAAATGAAGGGCAGGGTGTTGGGTAAAACAAATACTTACAGGCAATAATAATGTGGGGAGCCTTGAGGCCCAGAAAGGGGGAGTAAGGGTTGCTTGGAGCTGTGCAGCAGCAGACCAGAATACTCCATCAAGTGTCACTGCTGTCGCTACTGCAAGCAGTGGAGATTGCGGTTAGGAACGGAGTCGCTGGGAAGTCGTGGACAATTGGTCAAACAGCTGAGTGACACTTTGAAGGCCAGGAATGTGAATCTTCGGATCCGCTCTTGGCAGGAACTTGGAAGACAGGAGGTTGCTTCCGATCTAAAAGAGCCTCCTCCCTGCCCCCACTTTTTTTCCTTTCCAGTCTTACTTAGGCCCCCTTCCTTTTCATCTTCTACATATTATATCTTCTTCCCTTTCTCAATCTCTTCACTGCTCATTTTATTTCCAATTTTTTTTTAGTTTCTATATTTCCAATTTCCATATTTATAATAGCTACCTAATAGTACCTAACTGTACATAAAGTGAACAAAACAAAAAACTGGCTTTTGGTCAAAGATTATTGCAGGTTACACAGGGTAAAAATATAACATGATTTTTTAAAATCACAATTAGAAAGATTTTAAAAAACGAGATTACAATGAGTTTGAGTGTAACAAAAGCTTTTGTTTCATAAAAAGAATCATGAATTCGCTATGATGAACTACAAACATGCAATTCTAAAGACAAATAGAGACACAGAAGTCTAATTAAAATGCTACAGTAATGGGAAGGAAATGTGTATACGTTTTTGTCCCCGTAAGGTTCCAGGTTTATAGTTCAAGCATCATCACAGCTTAACATTTACTCTATGAAGATTATTAGCTGTTCTAATATATTACATGACTCCAGAGCCACGCAGCCTAGTTTGAAATCCTAACTTCATCACTGACTAGCATATGACCCTAGGCAAGTTCATTAACCTCCTATATGAAAGGATAAAAATAGTACCTGTTGTGAGGATTAAAAGAGATGATCCCACATAAGACACTTAGCACAGTGCCTGGCACATAGTAAGTGCTTGATAAATTGAACTGTGATGAATCTAGTGACACCCTTGGCAGAATTAAGTTAATAAACATTAAATGTAGCCTTTATGACATTAGCACTTATGTTTTATTTTAAAACTAGCAAGATAATTTCCACAAGAACTTTGCTAGTATGAACAACTACATTTCTTTTTTTTTTTTTTTTTTTTTTTTTTTATGAGACAGAGTCTTACTCTTGCCCAGGCTAGAGTGCTGTGGCGTCAGCCTAGCTCACAGGAACCTCAAACTCCTGGGCTCAAGCGATCCTCCTGCCTCAGCCTCCCAAGTAGCTGGGACTACAGGCAAGTGCCACCATGCCCGGATAATTTTTTCTATATATTTTTAGTTGGCCAATTAATTTTTTTTTTAATAGAGACGGGGTCTTGTTCTTGCTCAGGCTGGTTTCGAACTCCTGACCTTGAGCGATCCGCCTGCCTCCCAGAATGCTAGGATTACAGGTGTGAGCCACTGCACCTACCCTGAACAACTACATTTCAAAGTTAATTTCTCTCCTGTTTGTATTGTACAAACATTACAACACGTTTTTAAATTTCTCCTGTGACCCACTCACCTCCAAACATTATTTTTTTAGTGTTCTCTTCTAACTTTTTCCCCATATATGCATGCTTTTGCATTAAAATTTGGCAGATTAAATCTTGTATTCTGATTTTATTTCCATATAACATTTTTTCATGTTTCTCAAATAAAGGCTTCAAATTATTACTGTAAGTCTACATATTTGGTGTCCAATACTGAACAATCAGTTTTACTTATTAATGACACTTATAAAACCTCAGTTTTCAGCCTGGGCAACATAGCAAGATCCTGTCTCTACAAAAAATAAAACAACAAAAAAAAATTAGCCAGGTATGGTGTCGTGTGCCTATAGTCCCAGCTATTCAAGAAGCTGAAGCAGAAAGACCACTTGAGCCCAGGATTTGAGGCTGCAGTGAGCTATAATTGGGCCACTGCACTCCAGTCTGGTGACAGAGGGAAACCCTGTCTCTAAAATTCAAAAACAAAACTCCATCTCAGTTTGGTCTTTGAATAATAAAGCTTTCTTTTTTATATCAATTCTAGAATTGGACTAGTGTTAGGTTTATATGCTTACCATGGTGTAACAGTGATTTAAGATTCTGAATGATGTCATTAGTCACAGTCCTTTGATGAAATAAAGTCACGAGAAAGTTTGTCAATAGAAGAATGTAAGAGAATTGACTACCAGATTTTCCTTTCCCTCCGTGACATTCTGACCTTTGCTTTGTGCGTGTGTTATTGTTATATATAACATCAACAATTGGTATGTAAAGAACAATCAGTAATTTAAAATCAGTTCCTAAGAATAAACTTTAATGATGCACTGCAAAACCGGATAAACAGACTTTGAGTCTGGGGCAGTGAAAACTCTGCTAGTTAGGACTACATAATGCTCCCCAAAGGACCTGTGTCCATAGAAGCAATGTGAATGTGAAATGTTTCAAGCAATTAAGCAATTTCTAGGCCTCACAGGACAGCAAAATCAAGATCAACATGATGTCAACACCCTGCAACTCTAATCCCATGGGACAACATCCAGTCCCAGAGGTCAGATGACAGGTATTATGAGGGGTGGGTCACTCTGCATTGAGAAGCCATCTGTGAACTTCAGCAAACAGTTCTATAGACTGATGCAGAAGCCTGCAGCTGTGCCCTAAGGTAGAGTAGGTTGCAGGGAGTGAGAAGGGAGAAGGGGAAGAGAAGGAAAGCCCTAGTATCAACTGAAGTTAGGGAAAGGGATGCAAACTACCCCTGTGTTTCCTGCTTCCCACCAGAGGGAAGCCTTGCTCCATGAGAATTCGTGGGCACTCTCTGCCAAGACTTAGGATAGACCGCTATTAATACATGGCCCCCCAGGGTGCGGTGGCTCACACCTGTAATCCTAGCACTCTGGGAGGCTGAGGCGGGAGGACTGCTTGACCTCAGAAGTTCGAGACCAGCCTGAGCAAGAGCCGACCTGTTTCTACTAAAAATAGAAAGATTAGCAGGGCTTAGAGAGGCTGAGGCAAGAGGATCGCTTGAGCCCAGGAATTTGAGGTTGCAGTGAGCAATGATGATGCCACTGTACTCTACTCAGGACGACAGAGAGAGACTCATCTTAAAAAAAAAAAAAAATAGACTGCTACAGTCAGGCCTTGCCTAGGTGGCTATGTGACGATGTTCAAGGTTGTCAGGGGCCTTTGTAGAGCTGTTCTATTAAAAAAGAAATTTGGGTCAGGCGCGGTGGCTCACGCCTGTAATCCTAGCTCTCCAGGAGGCCGAGGCGGGCGGATTGCTCGAGGTCAGGAGTTGGAAACCAGCCTGATCAAGAGCGAGACCCCGTCTCTACTATAAATAGAAAGAAATTAATTGGCCAACTAATATATATAGAAAAAATTAGCCGGGCATGGTGGCACATGCCTGTAGTCCCAGCTACTCGGGAGGCTGAGGCAGGAGGATCGCTTGAGCCCAGGAGTCTGAGGTTGCTGTGAGCTAGGCTGACGCCATGGCACTCACTCTAGCCTGGGCGACAAAGTGAGACTCTGTCTCAAAAAAAATAAATAAAATAAGAAATTTGAAAGACCTTAAGTCAGATGGTCACAAGGCTAGACTAGGATGTGTATTCATGTGCTCTCTCTCACTCTCTCTCTCTCTAATGGATCTGATTTATTTTTCTGTAGATACAAACTCTTGCCATGTTGCCCAGGTTGGGCAACTCTGTGTCATAAAGCTGTCAGTCCCACCCACACCCGATTGACAGTCCACGAGACTATTCTATAATTGCTCTTTTGTTCTCTCTTAAACTCGCTCTAGCTAGGCATTGCCTCCCACGTCTGCTGCATTAAAACTCTTATTTAGGTCATGCATTCTTAGGGTTAATCATACCGTCTCAATCCTTATCTTGCTTGACATACTTCCTCACTGGATTTGCTTTCTTGACTTGGTTTCTGGGTTACCTGTTCTTGGTTTTCCTCCTCCCTCAGTGATCACTTCTTCTCTGTCTCCTTTTCCTACTTCTTCCCCTTGTCCCCAGCCACCCCCCAGGGCTCAGTCTTGGGTCCTCTTTTCTCTTCTACATACCTTCAGTTTCTAGGGTCTTGCAGAATCACTGTTCTAAATACTATCTCTATATTCATGAATTCCAAACTTTCCCATCATCCAGGACTTTAAAAAAGAAAAAAAAAAACCCTAAAAACTGCCTAGTACATTTTTCTAACATTTGCTTTTTGTCCTTTACTTGGAAATGCGTTCATTTCACCACGAAAATATTTTCGGGGTGGGGGTGGAATTTACATGAAAAAGTAGCAAGTATTTTTTTTTTTAAGATGTAGCTTATTCGAAAACAAGCTAAAAGGTTTCTAAGCTTTCTTCTCCGTCAGTGGTTGTTATGTTGGAACTCAGCAACTCTGCCAACTCTTAAGTTCCTTTTCTCCCCGGATGGGGCCATTCAGACGAAGAGTCAGCGGGAAATCAGCTCCTCCTGTGACCAGAGGCTCTGGCTCCGGTTCTTGGGACGTGTAACGAGTCGCGACTCAGAACCCTATTCTGCGAGTCTGGTCTGCAGACTCGGGGTGACGCAGGGTCTGTTCCCCTGGAGAACTGGGTCAAACTGAACAGGCGAGCGGCCCTGCGCCTCTGCCATGATCGAAAACAAGTTGGGGTGGCTGCAGCGCGCGTTCAGAACGCAGGTGTTTCTGCTTTGCAAGGAGGAGAAAGGTGCAAACCGCACGCTCTTTGTTTGTCTCTGATGCTGACCGGCGCCCCGGGGTTTCCAGGAATTACACAGGACAGAGGGGAGTAAGTGGCAAGAAGGGGTCCCAGGGGTCCCAGGGGAGGTCGGGGCCCCGGGTTTCCCGCAAGAGACCTCTAGAGAAAGAGGAGACGAGCAGGCCAGGAGCGCAGAGGACCTCGTTGGAATTCCCGTCGCTGCGCCTTCCACCTGGGGCAGCGGCGACAGGTGCGGACGGCGGGCGGGGCCGGCTCGCGGATCAGCCCGCCCTCCCGCCTGCGGCCAATGGGAGACAGCGAAGCCCGGACAGCAACCACGGGGATCCGAGATCCCAGCCAATGGGGGCGCCCTTCGACGGGCGGGCGCCCTTTAAGAGGCGGCGGGGCGCGGCCCGGGAGCCCGAGCGCGCGGAGCAGCCACCCGGCCGGGCCAGCATGTCCCTGCAGGTAACGGGCCGGGGGGCCGCGCGGGCGGGAGGATGCTCCGGGACGGAAGCGCTCAAAGCGGGGCGTGGGGCCGGGGGCACTCCCGGTCCTTCCCGAGCGCCCCCCGGACTGCAGTGTAGACCGGACTCGTGCAGTCTGGTCTACACCAGCCAGGGTGCTCCATAGCCATCCTTCTGGACCCCGGGGCGGGGGGCTGGTTTAACCACCGGGAGCGGAAAGCGCGGGGCAGCCCCTGCTCCGCCTCTTCTCTCCCTGTTGCAGAGGGCGGCGGGGGCGGCGGGGGTGTCACCTGCGCCCCCTTGCTCGGTGGCACCTCCAGGTGCTCGCTCTCCTAGACAGCTGTCTTTCTGAACAGAAGAGATCTGTGAAGGCTCCGATTTTAAAATACTGTTCTGCTGGTACGTGAAAAAATTATATATATCAAGGGTAGAAAACTTTGGAAAAGAGAACGAATATAAAGTAAGTAAAAATCTTTAGGAATTCCTTCACCCAGGTGACAACCGCTGCTAACGTGGTGGATTCCTTCCTAGTAAGTCCTTTATCGTGTGTGTGTCTTTGTTCATATTATCTACACACACACCTGTTATGTTATTTTGTGTATGCAGTTTTGTTCCTGCACTTCACACTGTATTATGAGCATTTTCTAATCATTAAATATTCCTCTGTAGTATGAACTTTTCAAATGCATAAAATTTTACAGAATGAACGTGGCTAACTTTAACCACTTCTTCAGGCAGGATGTTACCCTGGGTAAAGGCACGTACTGCAGGTCACCTGGGTTCAAATGCATGCTTCACCTCTTCTTAGCCTGTAGCATCATTGTTTAACCTCTCTGTGCCTCAGTTTCCCATCTAAAAATGGAGGACAGGTACTTTTAAAGGAGCTACCTGTATAGAGCATTTAAAACAGTGCCTAACATGTAGGTGTCCAATAAAGATAAGGTTGTGTTTGAACAGGCAGATATTCTTTTTTATTTTCAGATATTCTTATGTATGACTTATGTAATTCTTATTGAACTCTCCCCCAAATGAGCAAAACTTTCTTCAAATCAAAAGAGCTAGAAGGTTCCTTTTTAGCTTAGTACTTTGTGGGGGCTTTTTTGTTTGTTTGGTTGATTTTTTTTTTTTTTTGCTGTTGTTTGTTTTGAAAATATTTTCCATGAGGATTTAAAAGTCAAGGGACATCACAGGAAAGCAACGTGCTAAGAAATATTAACCCTTTGCACTCGGATATCGAGTGTGGATAATGTCAAGTGGCTAATGAGAAAAAAGCAAGTGTGCAAAGGGTTAATATCAACTACCCTGATAGTATCTACCACCAATCCATTTGAGCATTAAGACTATTGGAGGAAAATAACTTTTAAAAAAAGACAACCGGTAGCTGGCTGACATATTTAAACCTCGTCCTTCTTTGCAACTTACCTGGCACGTGCAGGCATCACAGTGGTACTTGTGTCCTGCCAAGATGCTACTGATAGCTCAGTTAATGGAAGCAAGAGGAAAGGTCACAAGCACAGAGTCCCCAGTCTCGTATTTCTTTATACTAGCAGTCAGTGGTGACAAAAACTCTCACAGAAGCAACAAGACAAATGGAATTTCTAATTCATCTATAGCCTCCCAATTTCATTTTTATGTGTGTGTGTGCCAGAGTCTCCCTCTGTTGCCTGGGCTAGAGTCCCGTGGTGTCAGCCTAGCTCACAGCAACCTCAAACTCCTGGGCTCAAGCAATCCTCCTGCCTCAGCCTCGCGAGTAGCTGGGACTACAGGCATGTACCACCATGCCCGGCTAATTTTTTCTATGTATTTTTAGTTGGCTAATTAATTTCTTTCTATTTTTAGTAGAGACAGGGGTCTCACTCTTGCTCAGGCTGGTTTCGAACTCCTAACCTTGAGGGATCCACCTGCCTCGACTTACCCAGAGCGCTAGGATTACAGGCGTGAGCCGCCACACCCGGCCCCCAGTTTCATTTTAAAATTACGATATGCTTACATCCTTACAAAACCTTTTAAGAGAGTGGATGGTTATCTTAACTGGACACATTTCTTTTTTAGATGATGAAGCTAAATGATTTTCCTTCCGAGAGGATGCATCTTTTCAAGTCTAGAGGACTCATGATTTTACAATTGGCAAATAACTAACCTACCCTTCTCTGCCCCACCCATTACTTTTTTGCGACCTAAGAACTGTGCATTTTCTTGAGTGAGCATTTTTGATCTTCCTAACTCAGTTCCTCAATGGGAAAGAATTGCTCAAAAAGCTCATGTCAACCCCACGTGTGGGATGTCCACGTTCTTTGGCCGCAGAAAGTGAAGTTAGATTAGGTGGGAGACAACTGAGAAGCTGTCCAGCTGGGGTGAAATGGAAAGGAAATGTACACGGGGCCAGAGCAGTCAGCACAGCAGGCTCGATGTATATCCAGCCCGAGTGACATTGGCATAACTGCTACCCCAAAGGTGGGGGGAGGGGACCCTGGGATGCCAGCATGAACAGGACAGGGTGGGGGGAGAGGCTCACTAGCCTTAAGGGAGCCTGTTTTGCAGCATCTTAAGCACTGCCAGTAGGGAGATCATGTGCTGACATTGCACCGGGGTGCTGAGGACCCCATTGCAAGAGAATCAGCCCAGCAGAAGCTGAAGTTCCTTCCCAAAGCAGCGAGCCCAGCTCCACACCAGTGCATGCATGGTACAAAACCGTCATTCTCTTTGCTCAGAATGCTTTGAGACTCAATGTAAATGGTGGCACCTTTAAAGCTGTGTGTCACCTACGATAACTTTCTGATCCTAATAATACTCATTAATCCATCCAGCAAGGGTGTCCTTACTGGGCTCCCACTGGGCTTGTGCCACCTGCCCACTCTGTAAGTCTGTAGGGCTCTGCTGTTGCTCCCAAGGTGAATATCCACGCCTGCCTCTGTTGTGGATATGTAGGGGAACAAGCGAATACAGTCCCACCCAGCCTTTATGTGGGGCCCTAGTCAATTCCGTGCACGCTGCGTGGAGCAGCTGTCCTGCCTGAGTACCCAATAGTGCAAGCACCATCTCAGCCCAGGGAAGGCTTCTTCCACGCCCTTCCCCACTGTGCTGCCTCCTCTGCATTCCCGGAGCAACCGGCTGCTTCTCCTTGGCAGCGAGTCTCATGGGTTCACGGCTGACCTGCTCATCTCCCACTGGACTCTGAGCTCCTTCCAGCGCACGCCCTTGCCCTGCCCTCCCCGTCCCTGTCTGCCTAGCAAAGCCCGGCCCATGTCGCAGGTGCTCAATCTGTTTGTTAGGTAGCATGATATGTACGATGAGCCCTGGGAGGGTGCAGTCCACAGACCAGATCAAGAATATTTTACATTCTTTGTTGTGTTTAACCCTGACACCTGGCCGGGCACGATGGCTCACGCCTGTATTCCTAGCACGCTGGGAGGCCAAGGTGGGAGGATCGCTCAAGGTCAGGAGTTCAAAACCAGCCTCAGGCCGGGCGCGGTGGCTCATGTCTGTAACCCTAGCACTCTGGGAGGCCAAGGTGAGCAGATTGCTCGAGGTCAGGAGTTCGAGACCAGCCTGAGCAAGAGTGAGACCCCATCTCTACTATAAATAGAAAGAAATTATCTGGACAACTAAAAATATATAGAAAAAATCAGCCGGGCATGGTGACACATGCCTGTAGTCCCAGCTACTCGGGAGGCTGAGGCAGGAGGATTGCTTGAGCCCAGGAGTCTGAGGTTGCTGTGAGCTAGGCTGACGCCATGGCACTCACTCTAGCCTGGGCAACAAAGTGAGACTCTGTCTCAAAAAACAAACAAACAAACCAAACAAACCTAAGCAAGAACAAGACCCCGTCGCTACTAAAAAAAATGGAAAGAAATTAATTGGCCAACTAAAAATATGTAGAAAAAATTAGCCGGGCATGGTGGTGCATGCCTGTAGTCCCAGCTACTGGGGAGGCTGAGGCAGGAGGATTGCTTGAGCCCAGGAGTTTGAGGTTGCTGTGAGCTAGGCTGACACCACAGCACTCTAGCCTGGGCAACAGAGTGAGACTCTGTCTCAAGAAAAAAACACCCTAACCCCTTCTTGCTGAGACTGATGGTATCTTTGCGGCTGAAGCTGCATCTCAGAGGCGCTTTGTTTCTTACCTAGAGTCCCAGGGCAGTGTGTCTCGAAGCTAGAATTCAAACTGAGCGTCCCAACGCAAAGCCAACGTTCTTTCCACTACGGCGCATCATGGTGGGGTGGGAAAGGCCTCCTAGAGGAAGGTTCATCAGAACAGCACCTTAAACCAGAAGCATTTTCAGTGGAGGTGCTAGGGCAGGGCAGGCTGGACAGAGAGATGGTGCTGGATGCTGCTCTAGAACTTGATTCTTTCCTGGGGAGGGAGGAAGGAGGGGGACCCCTGAAGTGATATGGGAAACTGTTGAGGCCCAGCCCTTCTGGGAAGAGGGTCCAAGACTTTCATTGGACCTATTTTTTTTTTTTTCTTTGAAATGGGGTCTTGCTCTGTCACCCAGGCTGGAGTGCAGTGGCACCATCACAGCTCACAGCAGCCTCAAACTCCTGGGTTCAAGCGATCCTCCTGCCTCAGCCTCCCAAGTAGCTGGGACTACAGGTCCAGATCCCTATGCTCGGCTAATTTTTAAATTTTTTGTAGAGACGGGGTCTCACTATGTTGTTCAGGCTGGTCTTGAACTCCTGGCCTCAATCGATCCTCCCCACCTCTGCCTCCCCAAAGTGCTGGGATTACAGGCGTGAGTCATCACGCCCTGCCTCGTTAGATCTTTGTGTGGTTCTATACCCCCCAAAATATGAAGAACAATTGTCCAGAAACTCATTGCTGGAAGGCGGGGACCTCACGTGGTTTTTAAGGAGCCTTAGAATTCTAACCGAGGATGGACTCACCAAAAGGAATTGGACTGCTGTCGTTGGAAAATGGCGTGAGACTTTATAGCAAACAGAACATCTGAGATGGCTGATGAGACTACAGAGGAAGCTGCCCACACCTCTTTGTGAATGCCCTCGCCCTGCCTTGCTCTTAGGAAGCCCTGGCCACTCGTGTAGCATTTCAATTTTATCCTTATTATAAACAAAATAGGTACACATTATAGAAAATTTGGAGAGGATCGAAAATATTAAAAACCAGAAACCTTACCTACTGGTAGGTAGAAGCAATTACTGTTTACATATTTTAGTATATTTCTTTCCAGTCTTTACTTTTTCTACCCAACTTGCAAAGCTGAGAGTATAAAAACAATTTTTGTGTTCTTTGTTCAACTATAAAGTATTTTTCATGTCTCACTTCATTGCAAGAACTGTTTGCAACTTTTTCTAGAACCAGTTATTTTTTCCCCAAAAAAGGTTTATAATAAAAATAATAGCTAACATGTATTGAACATTCACCATATACAAGGCAGTATTTTAAGTGCTTTACACGTTACCTTATTTAAATCCTTCTAACAACCTTGTGAATAGGTGTTATTATTGACTCATATACCAGATGAAGAAACAGACACAGAGAGGTTGAGTCACTTGCCCAAGGTCACACAGCTCTTAAGTGGTGAAGCTCAGACTCAAACCAAGGCAGGCTGGCTCCAAGAGCCTGTGTGTGTTCTTAACCATGGCCTTACGTATAAAACAGCTGACAGTTTCCTAGAAAGACAAGGCACCGTTGGCCACATGTACCCATCCTTGTCAGTCCCCTGTAGGAATTGATTAAGGGACCAGGTCATTTTCAAGGTTATTTAGACCCTGGTCTCCGATTGACAGATGATTTTTGTTCTTCCCAACACAACTGTTCTAGGTGTGCAACTCTGTCTTAATTTGGCGACTGGATGGAAACTCGACCGAGCAACTCTGCCCAGCTCACAAGGGGTTCTGAGGTTACAGTGGGGTGATCCAGTTTCTCTCCCAGGCCTCTGGCATCTGAGAATAAATATGGGAGTTAGTGAGGTCAGGTGTCTCTAAGTTAACCCAGGATAAAGCTTATTGCTTAAGTGCACGTATGTGCGCTTATGTGTCCAGGAAGTATACAAATATATACTTACTACTCAAGTATCTCTGTACACAAAGTTTTGCTCATCAACTCTGAGTTGGCTAAACAATTTCTCTTTTCTAGAAATCAGTTGAAAAAAAGTCTTATAACTTTTGGGTTCAGTGTTGAAAGCAATCTGTATAAGCAAAGTTCAACTAAGTCAGGAATATTGATTGCCCTTGGAAACTAGCGAGTCCACTAAATGGGTATAAATGATGCAGGTGTTGAAGGGCGTGGGCACGGGGGTGCTGGGAGAGAAATGCCCTGGACGGTGGTATGAACTGGCAGCAGAGCCCTGCGTGTAGTACAGTGTGGATTTAGGAGAAAGAGGAAGGTTCATGGGATCCTTCAAGATCCCATGGATCTTGGAGGGGATCATCCAAGATCATGGGATCTTGATGGGATCATCAAGAAAGCTGCATCGAGTGGAATGCTTTTTTTTTTTTAATAGAGAAATTGAATATTTTCAGTATTAAGAATTTTATTTTGGTGGAAACAACCCAAGTGCCCATCAGTACATGAGTGGATTAATAAAATGAGGTATATGCATACCATGGAGTGCTATTCAGCTATAAGAAACAATGGTGATCTAGCACCTCTTGTATTTTCCTGGATGGAGCTGGAGCCCATTCTACTAAGTGAAGTATCCCAAGAATGGAAAAATAAGCACCACATGTACTCACCAGCAAATTGGTATTAATAGATCAGCACTTAAGTGGACATATAGGAATAACATTTATTGGGTGTCGGGTAGATAGGAGGGGGAGGAAGGGATGGGTATATATATACATAATGAGTGCAATGTGCACCATCTGGGGGATGGACACGCTTGAAGCTCTGACTTGGGGGGCAGGGGTATGGGGCAAGGCAACACACATAACCTAAACATTCGTACCCCCATAATATGCTGAAATAAAAAAAAAAGTTTTATTTTGTTCTCCATATTTTGTCTGTATAGCACGTGAGTACCAGGAAAGGTAAACCAATGGGAGTTCAAATAAATTAGGATAATTCTGGTAGAACCAGAGTAGCAATAGTTCATTTCTATTTGAAACCTTTGTCCTCTTCCTTTTTTAAATTCCCCCACCTTGGTGGCAATAAGTGCCCCCAGATTCTGACAGTCCTGCCTTAAGTTAACAAATGCACCGTGTGCTCTTTTTTTTTTTTTTTTTTTTTTTTTTTGCTTTAGGCTGATTTTGACAGGTTCGCAGAAGATGTCAGGAAGCTGAAATCAAGACCAGACGATGAAGAACTCAAAGAACTGTATGGGCTTTACAAACAAGCCATAATCGGAGACATTAATATTGGTATCAGCTTGTCACTTAAAAAATACTTCTACATTTCATTTGAGCAGCGTCTATAGAAGTGCACAGTAAAATGTAAACCTGAAAATACACTTCTTTTTTTGGCAGAGTGTCCAGGAGTGTTAGATTTAAAAGGCAAGGCCAAATGGGAAGCATGGAACCTCCGAAAAGGTTTTTAATTCTTTAATAAAGTTTACAAATAACTTCCTTAATTTCCCAGTGCACCACTCAGGGAGATAACCTCTCTGTATCTTTCTAGGATTGTCGAAGGAAGACGCGATGAGTGCCTACATTTCTAAAGCAAAAGAGCTGATAGAAAAGTATGGAATTTAGGATTCTGCGTATGAGAAACTTTTCTTTCTGAAGCTTTCACAGAGGTACCACGTCCTCACATTCAGGGTGGAAGTACACGTTTATGGATCGTGTCTGTTTTTGCTATTAGCATGAACTGGAATACTTAAAATTAGGAGTACGCTGAAACTGCGTAGTTAAATTGTACTTGCTTAACCTAGATGACTGTGAAGGTTCTTTTAGAAAAATATTGCTCTGCTAGTGTGTAGACAAAGATTTAACCATTGTGTGTTCTCTTGGCTCCTCTGATCTTCTCCAATGAGCTTGTGTTACTGGTGTAATAAAAACAAGGGATTAAGAATTAATAGCAAGACTACTCTTTTGTTACACGTGTAGCTCTGGGCTCAGGCTGATGCAGTGACACGCCTGGGTCCCGTCCTCACTGTGTGACCTACTTGCTGAGTGTCCTGGGGCCAGTTATTTAGCCTTGCTAAGCCTCGTCTGTAGAGGAAAAAGAATAATAATATCACTCTCACCAGGTTGTTGTAAGAATTCAAGGAGATAACTGTACCCATGCTACCCTCTTAATAGAGCAAATGCTATATAAAACATAATAAGCTGGAAAATGTTTTTTTTAAAAAGAAATGTATATGTCTATCTATAGTGCCTTAAAGGAAGATAAAAGCCACTATCAGATGGAAATATCTCCTGTTTCTCTTTAAATTTTTATATTTCAGAGAAATAAAAAAAAAGTCAAGCTAAAATGTATCTAGTGATAAACTCTACCACTACTGCACCCTGTATGTTCCATTTTATCAGAGTGAAAATGTCAAATCTAGACTCTAATAAGGACCCACTACTCAGGTTTTCTTGATGGTACGTACATAGGCTCTTTGTTTTTTGTTGTTGTTTTTTTTTGAGACAGAGTCTCGCTTTGTTGCCAAGCTAAAGTGAGTGCCGTGGCGTCAGCCTAGCTCACAGCAACCTCAAACTCCTGGGCTCCAGCAATCCTGCTGCCTCAGCCTCCCAAGTAGCTGGGACTACAGGCATGCGCCACCATGCCCAGCTAATTTTTTCTATGTATATTATTTGGCCAATTAATTTCTTTCTATTTATAGTAGAGACAGGGCCTCGCTCTTGCTCAGGCTGGTTTCGAACTCCTGACCTCGAGCAATCAGCCCGCCTCAGCCTCCCAGAGTGCTAGGATTACAGGCATGAGCCACCGCGACCGGCCATACATAGGCTCTTTGAAAGAAGCTAGTCTCATGTTTACAGCTCACAAACCTTCTTGAGATCCTATAGGATAAATATCCCCCCAAACAGTGTACCTCTATTCCCTGTATAATGATTTAGGTTTGATGTGGTATGACCAGAGGGACAGATTAATTTCATGTCACTTACCACAAAAACAAAACCCTCCGAATCCACTAGATCAATTTCCAGGGAATTACGCTGAGTGGGAAAAGCCAATCCCCAAACATTGCAAGCTCTTTGATTCCATTTATGTGACATTCTTAAAAGAGCAAAATTATAGACACTGAGAATAGAATACTGATTGTCCGGGAGGGGGGAGGCAGGTGTGGCCATGGAAGGGCAGCCAGCGGGATCCTGCAGTGATAGAATGTTCTGTGGTTGTGAAATTACACTGCAATTTTGTATGATGGTTACCGTTAAGGGAAACTACCCAAAAAACTACACAGATCTCTCTGTATTAGTTCTTACAGATCTAAGGGAATCAACAGTTATCCCAAAAATTTGATTTAAAAAAAAATCAAGATCGATTTTTTATCTGGAAAATTTGGACAAGAAAGATGATTCTCAGTTGGGCACAGTGGCTCACATCTGTAATCCTAGCACTCAGGGAAGCCAAGGCGGAGGATTGCTGGAGGTCAGGAGTTCAAGACCAGCCTGAGTAAGCGAGACCCCATCCCTACTAAAAATAGAAAAAATTAGCCGGGCATGGTGGCACATCCCTGTAGTCCCAGCTACTCGGGAGGCTGAGGCAGGAGGATGGCTTGAGCCCAGGAGTTTGAGGTTGCTGTGAGTTAGGGTAAGGGCACAGCACTCTAGCCTAGGAGACAGAGCAAGACTCTGTCTCAAAAAAAAAAAAAAAAAAGATTCTCATCTATTCTAGGTTTGCCTAAAGATAGTTGGAAGTTGTCCACAATGAAGTTGAGGCCAAGTCCCTTGAGACTGGTCTGGTCTCTTGCAATGAAGGGCTTGGAAACTCTTAGAGCTATTCCCATGTGGATTCCACCCACCCCCAAAGCCCGGCATTGGCCACGCCGGGAGACTCCCATTTACAGACTATATTGACGGATTTTTTTTTTCAAATCGATAATCATAAATCTAAATTGCTTTTGTATCAATCCTTTAGTAAGGGGGCTCTAGAAACAGTATCAAACTAAAGGGTAAACTATAACACATGCTAACATTTAACATAATTGGCTTGAGGCAGCTTGTAGCCCAAATTTATAACATGAATTTGAACTCAAAACCCACCCCATAATTCATTTTATATTATTTGCACTTTGTCAAAAAAGAATGATAAATTCTGAAAAATTCCTCCTGTATGCATTTTCCTTATTCTTACGTACTAAGGCCTTAGGTCCGTTATGTAAAAATAGTAACAAAAACATAAACGCCTATTATGCGATCATAAACATATCGATGATGTTATGTTGAGCAGTGTAGGCTGTAAGGAAGGGACAGCAGTCACATCAAGAGTGGAGTTTATCGCGACGATGTGAAGGAAAGAAGGAAATCCGGGCATCTGCGGGAGAGTCAGCCCTTGAAGAGACAAACACAGTCTGGAAATTGACAGAGTTCAGAGTTCAAGCAGCTCCAGGGTCTCAGTGACACTTCACTCCCTTCCCACTGATAGTGTGCCGCCATTATTCCCACTCAGCTAATCTTCCCTGTTTCTCCTTTGCTTGTTCTCTTGGTCCCTGTTTGTTTCACCCAATGTCAAGTTCAAGGTGCGGCAGGGTGAGGCTGAGGCAGCCCGTCAGGCATGGCATTTGTGCTTGGCTACTCCCTACGCCAAGCCAGGGGCCAGACTCTGGATTGGTTTTCTGTGGGAGGGCTGGCCGGGGTGGCGGGGCCACACAAAGCCAACCAGCAGTTGGCGTAGAAGCAACTCCTTAGAAAGGGGGGCCAGGCACTTGCTGTTACAGGTGACAATGATTGTTTAAGGCTATCTTCTTTTAATAAAGCATTTCATTTTTTTTTTTGAGACAGAGTCTCGCTTTGTTGTCCAGGCTAGAGTGAGTGCCGTGGCGTCAGCCTAGCTCACAGCAACCTCAAACTCCTGGGCTCAAGCGATCCTCCTGCCTCAGCCTCCTGAGTAGCTGGGACTACAGGCATGCACCACCATGCCCGGCTAATTTTATATATATATATATCAGTTGGCCAATTAATTTCTTTCTATTTATAGTAGAGACGCGGTCTTGCTCTTGCTCAGGCTGGTTTTGAACTCCTGACCTTGAGCAATCCGCCCGCCTCGGCCTCCCAAAAGCTAGGATTACAGGCGTGAGCCACCGCGCCCGGCCTTCATTTTTTTTTTATAAATGGAACTCCCCTACGTTTCAAAAGATTAGATCGAACTTTGGTGAAACAATAAATAAATTTCGGCATTTCCCCTATTAATCATTTCACCATTAAAATAATTAAAAGAAGAATGGATAATTTACCAAGCATGAATTTTATTCACAAACATCCGACTGATGAGAATCACATAAGATTTTAATACAAAGATAAAAGACTCTTGTCAGGAGTGTTCTTTACCCATGTGCCTTTCAGATACATAAATCCTCCTCAGAGAAATAAATTTATATATAACAAATCACCATGCCAATGGAAAATGTATCGTTTCCAATCTCTAAATAAAACTAATGTGTTATGTCTGAATAGCTGCGAAGAATATCGTATCGCTTTGACTATTTTAAGACCGAAAGGGAAATTATCTAAAAATTGGCAAGTGATGATATTTCTAGACACTTGGCTATGTAGTCTTTGAGGAATTTCTCATTACCAGGTTCCTTAAGGTAAAAATGATCTCCTGGAAGGACATGAAGGTTGGTACTTCCATTGGTTATACCTTTCCAGGCTAAAAAATAAAACAAAATTATATTTAATGACAAATGACACCAACCACAACCAAAGATTTACTTCGAGATACTATTTCTATAAGAGCTGATACCCAGTGGTAGAGCTAATTCCAAGGTCTTCCGTTCTACGTGTCCTGTATTTTGAATTTCTCTAAGATCTATCAGTCTACAGCAGTATTACCTGCATTTTCTCATTTTACACCAGACCAGCATCTCTCCTTTTATGCTAAATAAAACTTAGACCAATTTCCTACTCATTGCAGTAACTGCCAGTTGACATTAGCCCAAAACTATCAAACGCATATTTCAATAAAACACTCAAGACTATAAAAATAATTTCACCTTCCATATCCTTTGCTATGTCTTTGGTTCCAACAAAGCATGTTAAGTCGCAAGAAAGAACAGCCTTAGATGGTGTGTCACAGCTGTAAACGTAAAAGAGCTGGTTAGTCGTTTTGTCACAAGCAACATCCCAGAAATTTTTTTTTTCCTGTTATCAACTGCAGTGAAACTTGGGGTGGACTCACTTCTCTCCCTTTGGCTAGTTCTAGCAATGCAAACGTTCTTTTCCCCACCAGTGGCACTTCTACCAATGAGAACCTTCCAGAAATGCAATGTGGAGGCCATTTTCCAGCATCATCTAACTTCTAAAACAGGGGTCCCCAAATTTTTTAGACAGGGGGCCAGTTCACTGTCCCTCAGACCATTGGAGGGCCGGACTATAGTTTTAAAAAAACTATGAACAAATTCCTATGCACACTGCACACATCTTATTTTGAAGTAAAAAAAACCAAATGGGCAAAAACACCCCCATGTGGCCCCTGGGCCGTAGTTTGAGGATGCCTGTTCTAGAACGTGGCAAGTGGCAGGGGGACGCCAGTGGGGCCCCCACGCCGACTCAGGGTAAGGCTGGTCACACCCAGCACCTCTGTCATTCCCCAGAAACAATGGCCTCTCTGAGAACTCCTAGCTCTCTGTGGTCTGTTGCCAGGCTTGGACCAAGAGTGGGTTCAAGCCGGGCACGGTGGCGCATGCCTGCAGTCCCAGCTACTCGGGAGGCTGAGGCAGAGGATTGCATGAGCCCAGGAGTTTGAGGTTGCTGTGAGCTAGGCTGACGCCATGGCACTCACTCTAGCCTGGGTAACAAAGTGAGACTCTGTCTCAAAAAAAAAAAAAGTGGGTTCAAGACAGGAGGCCCCTCAGTTGGTTCCTGTGTCACAACAGCAGCAAGTGTGAGTACCATGCGAGACACCAGGGACCCAAGGGCGGTCCCAGTCCCTGTCCTCCTGCACCTGAGAGACAGACCTTCATGAAAAGGCAGGCAGCTAGCGAGAGATGCAAGTGCATGGAAGATGAGAGTCCCAGGGTGACCGAGAACAGGTGGCAGGAGAGCGGGGGTGGGGACAGGGTCAAAGCCCCTTCCCAAGGGGAAAGGAAGAGGCTCTGCAGTCTACGAACAGGAAAGAACTGGGCCAAGGGGCCAGAGCCTGCAGGGAAAGAGGGACGAGAAAGCGCACGAATTAATGGCCATGTGTCCCCAAACACAGCCACATGTGGGGACAAATTAAGGTCGAAGAGATAAGGCCAAGTCGACGCCATGTAAAGGACTTTGGTCATCCTAAGAGTGACAGGACGTCACCAAAAGGGTTTAAGGTGGGGAACATCAGGATCAAACTCGACCCTCATCCCTGGGGGTGGGGGGGCACGTGGGCTGGGTGGCAGGGGACTGAGGGTGGGTGGCAGGGCCAGTCTGGCTGCTCGTCCAGGGGTCCAGGCAAGACCCCTTCTCCTGCCAAGGATGGAGAAAGCCAGCGGTGCCCTCCAGGCCTAGCAAGGAGGGGGAAAATCCCAGAGAAAACACAGCATCCTTAAGTTTTCTTGAATTCATCTGAGAGTATCTGCAAGGCCAGCTAGAATCCGAATTCCACGGAAGGGCGGGCCCCGCAGGGGAGAGGCGGGTAGAGACCCGCTCAGCAATGCAGGGAGGAAGGGGGCAGGGCGTCTGCTACCTTGCAGTGGGGCGAGACTCAAATCAGCTGAAGTTGGAACAAAGTGTTGTTGGAGAGCTGAAGCCAGGTGTGTCAGGTGAGGTTCACTCTGACTCGCCAACTCTTTTTCACGGGCCTCGGCTAGGGGTTCGGGAGAAAGACGCTGAGCAAAGCAGGAGGCCAGAGACAGCCACCTCCCGTTGTACAGGGAGTCAGCTGTGACCATGGGACAAGGCGCTAGATCCTGCCACCTGCACAGGCCCGGCTGTCATTCTGCGCAGAAGCACGAAGCCCCTTGGAGGAGCGGGCATCACACCCTGAGAGGTAAGGAAGGGTGAAGAGGGACGCAGGTGAAGCCACTCCTGTGGCTACCAGGGTAAGGACAAAAGCAGAAACCCTCTACTCCTGGGGAAAGAGTAGGAAACAATCCTACACCAAAGCCAAGCACGGGTCTGCCACTTGTAGGAAGGGGCAGGATTCTCCCACTCAAGCCAACCACAGGTACAAGGCAAAATTTATTTGCAACAGAGAGAAGGGACAGGTAGGCGCTGAGAAAGTCCCACCCACCCACCTGGGGGCCTACCTAGCACTGAGGCTTAAGGCTGTCTAGGACATCCAAGATCTCCCTGTGTTACCCCACAGGTTAACACATACATTGAGTAACAAGCAACAGAAGGAGAGATGACAAGGAGAGATTTGCTCAAATTCAGGTGTAAAAAAAAACATTCACTTCAGTCTCTACTGTTTTATATATAGCTGGCTTGCAACTAAAAAACCGAGACATTAAAGAAAAAAAAAATAAAAAGAAAAGTAAAAAAGATTCACACAGAAGTGGAAACTTAAAGAAAAAAAAAATAAAAAGAAAAAGAAAAAACCGAGACAGCCAAGAAAGCAACCCGTTGTTAAGAGGCAAAACAATCAAAAGAATCAGACATAGGTAAGATCCAGATGTCAGAATTGAAAGATAGGGACTTTAAAATATCTGTGATTAATATGGATTTAGGATTTAACAGAGGAGGTGGACAACCTGCATGAACAAACAGGGGATTTCCTTAGAGAGGTGAAAACTACAAGAAAGAGTCAAATGGGAATTTTTGAAAATAAACAGCAACAGAAATGAAGAATTCCTTTTAACAGGCTCATCAGTAGATTAGACACAGCTGAAGAAAGAATCGGTGCCCTTGAAAACAGTCAGTAGAAATTATCTACACCAAAACACGGGGACAAAAGTTTTTTTGTTTTTAGAAAAGACACAACATCCAAGATATGTGGGACAAGATCAGTTATGAAACAGCCTAACATATGGAATCAAGATTCCAGAAAGAGAAGAGACAGCAGCACAATAGTCCAGGCAAGAGATGGGGACAGCTTGTGTGAGTTGGAGTAGTCACAGCTTCTGGTATTGCCCATCTGACACAGATTGCCATTTGGGCCACCAGGCTCTGAGCCTTGGTGGTAGGTGATGGGGAAGGAGAAGACGGAGAGAGACTCTGCAGGTCTACAACGTGATTTACATTGGAAAAAGCTGAGATGTCAGGCGGGGGTCAACAGAGAAGATCAGACTGAGAAAGAAGAGACAGGAAGGATGAGAGGACCAGAGACCAGGGTTTGGGGTGAGTTGTTGGAATTTGGAGGCAGAAAGTTAACAGTTGTGAGTAGCTAAATGTAATTTGATTCACTGGGAAATGGCTGAGAATGTTAAGATTTCCTATATTCTATGAGTGGAATATCCGTGTGAGTGATTAACGTTTTATTTTTGGTGTTTGAGGGGCTTCTTTGGAGTGAAAGAACTCAATAGTATATTTTTTGTCATGTTTTGTTTTTAAAAATGGCTTGTGATTTATGTGTCAAACTCTCTACTAAGTACGACTTCATTTAATCCTCACCACAACACCTGAAAGTTACTATTGTTATACCTTCTTTGACAGAGGAGACACAGACTGTTAAAGAAACTTGCTCAGAATCTTGCAGTTAACAAGACACGAACAGGAGGTTTCAATCTGGTAAGTGGACTTTAAAGATGGTTTGTTTAATCATTGTACAAAGCATAGTTATTAAAAAACAGCTTTTGCATGCACTATTTCATTGACTGCTCATAGTGATTTGGATTGCTTTTGTAAATTTTATTTTTAATTGACAATTGTATATGTTTAGTGTACAGTGAGATATTTTGAGATATGTATATATATACATGAGATATATGATATATGTACATATACATATATGTATACATATATGTACATATACATACATATGAGATATATGATATATGTACATATACATATATGTATACATATATGTACATATACATATATATACATATGAGATATATATACATCTCATGGAATGATTAAGTCAAGCTAATTAACGTATCCATCACTTCACATACTTATTTTTTTTTGATGGTGTGAACATTTAAAATCTTTCTTAGCAATTTTCAAATATATATTATGTTAACTGTAGTCACCATGGTATGCAACAGACCTCAAAAATTGTATTCCTTCTGTCTAACTGAAACTTTGTAGCTGGGTGCAGTGGGCTCACGCCTGTAATCCCATCACTTTGGAAGGCTAAGGTGGGAGGATAACTTGAGGCCAGGAATTCAAGACCAGTCTGAGCAACATAGCGAGACCCTGTCTCTACAAAAAAATAGAAAAATGAGCCCAGCATGATGGTGCATGCTTGTAGTCCCAGCTACTTGGGAGGCTGAAGCAGGCAGATTGCTTGCACCTAGATAGTTTGAGGTTGCAGTGAGCTCTAATGATGCCATTGCACTCTAGCCTGAGTGACACAGTGAGACCCTGTCTCAAAAAAAGAAAGCAAGAAAAAAGAAAACTTATCTCTTTGTTCTTTCCCCACCACACACAAAGCCCAGCCTCTGGCGGCCACCATTCTACTCTCTACTTCTATGAGTTGAACTTTTTAAGATCCTGCATGTAAGTGCGATCATGCAGTGTCTGTCTTTCTGTGCCTGACTTACTTCACTTAGCATAACGTCCTTCAGGTTCATCCAGGTTGTCACCAATGACAGGATTTCCTTCTTTTTTAAGGCTGAATATTATTCCAATGTGTATATATAACACATTTTTCTTGATCCCTGATGGACGCTTAGACTGATTCCATATCTTAGTTATTGTGCACAATGCTGGAATAAACATGGGAGTAGTGCAGATATCTTCCAAAATACTGATTTCAATTCCTTTGGATATATACCCAGATGTAGGATTACTGGGTCATAGGGTAGTTCTATTTTCAGTTTTTTTTGAGGAACTTCCCTACTGTCTTCCATAGTGGCTGTAGTGATTTATATTCCCACCAACTATGTACAAGGGTTCCCTTTTCTTCATATTCTCACCAACACTCATCTTTTGTCTTTTTTCAGGACCCTTACCTGGTTTTTTGTTTGTTTGTTTTTCTGAGACAGAGTCTCACTCTGTTGCCCAGGCTAGAGTGCTGTGGCATCAGCCTAGCTCACAGCAACCTCCAACTTCTGGGTCCAAGCGATCCTCCTGCCTCAGCCTCCTGAGTAGCTGGGACTACAGGCATATGCCACCATGGCGGCTAATTTTTTCTACATATATTTTAGTTGGCCAATTAATATCTTTGTATTTTTAGTAGAGACGGGGTCTTGCTCTTGCTCAGCTGGTCTCAAACTCCTGACCTTGAAAAATCCACCCGTCTTGGCCTCCCAGAGTGCTAGGATTATAGGCATGAGCCACCGTGCCTGGCCCCTTATGTATTTTTTTAACTGGTTGTTTTCTTACTATTGAGTTGTTTGAGTTCTTTATATATTTTGGATATTAACTTCTGATCAGATGTGTGGTTTGCATATGTTTTCTCCCAATCTGTAAGCTATCTCTTCATTCTGTCGATCGTTTCCTTTGCTGTGCAGAAGCTATTTAGTTTGATGTAATCCCATTTGTCTGTTTTTACTTGTGTTGCCTGTGCTTTTAGGATCATACCAAAAAAATCATTGTCCAGACCAACATCATGGAACTTCCACCCTATGTTTTCTTCTGGTAGTTTTATAGGTTCATGTCTTACATTTAAGTCTTTAATCCATTTTAAGTTGATTTTTATATGGTGTGTGAGAAAAGTGTCCAATTTTATTCTTCTGCATTTGGATATCCAGTTTTCCCAGTACCATTTATTGAAGAGACTTCCTTTCCCCATTGTGTGTGTTCTTGGCACCTTTGTTGAAAAAAATCAATTGATCACAAATGTGTGGGTTTATTGCTGGGCTCTCTGTTCGGTTCCATTGGTTGATGTGTCTGTTCTTATGCCAGAACCATGTTGTTTTGATTACTAATAGTCTTTTTAAATGTCAAGTTTCAAGTTTGGGGTTTTATTCAAATGTCAGGCTGTATTTCTTTGATCCTAAATCTGTGCGAAGCAAGGCAGCTTAGCCTATTGGAATCAAATTGGGCTAAGATGGTTTGGATGCACAGAAATGGAGAGATATACCATAGACTTGGGATATCTAGGAAGTAAACTATGAACTTTGTGATAGATAGGAGGTGGGCAGTGAATGGAGGGACGTGTCCAAGATGGTTGGATTGTCTCAGATCTCAAGGGGCTGTGTCTGTTCCACATTTTGTGGCCATTTGTGTAAACTTCTAGTAGCAAGCACTGTCAGTGGTGACCCAGTGCCCAGCTCCTGACATTGTGGAGGAAGTAAAAGAAACACAGGCCCAAGCAGTTGTCTTCAAGAAACCCAGGGGACAAGCCCAAGCAAAATAGAAGAAATGCATGACAGCATGTAACAGTGACTAAGGGCCCCACCATGCCTGTGGGGAAGTTAGACTGGGAAGAGCCATTTTAGGAGGTTATTAGGCAAGGATTTACAGAGTGTTCGGACTTTAGTCCCATCAGAAGAATCAAGCGTCAATACAGACATCCTGTGAGATGAGGGAATGGAGCGATGCCTTAGAGCTAAATGAGTTCTGGAACAAAATTCACAAAAAAGCAAACCTAGCAAAATTCCCCTCCCCACTGGTTTGCCTCCACACTTAACAAAAAACAGCAATCCATTTCTGCTGACCCCCCCTAATAAGATGACAATGGTTTGGAATGTAGTCAACAAATACATATTTTGTAACAAAACATGCATGTCTAATCATATATATATTTTTTTCTAAGAAAAATATGTGGAATGTAGTCAACAAATACATATTTTGTAACAAAACATGCATGTCTAATCATATATATATTTTTTTTCTTTTTTTTTAAGAAAAATATGTGCTAGTCATCTTTTACAGATACAGTTTCTGTGCCCAGGCTCCATTCTAAGCTAGTACAAATATCACAGGTGGTCTCAAAGGAAATAAAACTAAGCTCTCCTTTTTTTTTTCTTTTAAATTTTGTTTTCAAGGACAAAGCTTAGAAGGTAGAAAACAAACTCTTAAAATTTTGTCTTCCCCTATAAGCAGCCTCAGAGAACTGCCAGTCTACATTTTTCTATAAATCATGATACCCAGAAAACCCCATCATGTTGGTTACTTACGTGTAAGTACTCATGACATGCATGTCTGACATCAGAATGGGGATATATTGTTGGAAAAGTTCCTTGTCTTCCACAAGATGCTGGGGGGTGCCTCCAAAGTCATTAAGGACATGGTAAAGTTGTTCTTCAGACAATCCCTTATCTTCGGGTATGTAAACCCTGGCCTTGGACTTGAAACAATAACAACACAGCCCTGATATTTCATATAACACACTTGCTCGTAAACTGAAATCTGTATCTAAGGGACACATGGTCATATCAGCGCTGGGACATGGACTGCTCTCTCTGTAGGTTTCAGGGGGGGTGAAAACTGTTTCCTTTCTAAAAGCAGGGAGAAGGAAGTCCATCAGTAATGCCATTGCAAACCTAGGGCCCCAGACCAGCTGGCATCTTTCTCCAGATAAAATGAGGACATCAAAGGGGATGGAGGAAGTGTAGCAGGAATAGCAGCGCCAGGCTTTAAAAAGCCACTGTCGTTCCAAAAATGTGATATCACCACCCCCTTTTGAAATTTCGGGGATTCTTTTCCTGGCTCTGATCCAGTTACTTTACTGAAAGTCGATTAAGTTCCCAGCTGACCCAGAAGGAAAGAGAAAGCACTTCTGGGGTCAGTATGAGCTCACAAGTTCCAGGGACAAAGCAGGGAGCCATCAGGGAATAGTTGAAGTGCATTTCAGGGAAACGGAGAGAGAATGATATTGAAGGAGATTTGAGGAACTTTTCAATAGCACATAGTATCCCTGCCATTGTCTCCATACTGGACCAAAATTCACCAGATAGGAAAATAATGGCTTCCTTTCTACCTCCCCCCACCCGTCCCCCCCGCCCCCCATTTCCTTCCTCTCCCCTTCCCTTCCTAAAATAAAGCTGAGATACTTACATAGGGAGGCGTGGCACTCGACACAAAGAAATGTACTGGTTCTAGCTTGTATTTCTCTTTTAGTTTTAGTGCAGTCAAAAGAGCAATATAGCACCCCATACTAAATCCAAGAAAGAAAAAGAAGGTCATCCATCAAAAGTCAATAGGAACAAGTATCATAAACACATCATAATAAGCACAATAGGAAAAAGTATCCTGTTATAGACAAAAGTGTAAGTTTGTTGATTGACAATTCTGATTTCTGAAAGGTGTATTTTCAATGATTCATGTCAGCATAAAAAAAGTCTTGGTCGGGCACGGTGGCTCGCACCTGTAATCCCAGCACTCTGGGAGGCCGAGGCAGGAGGATCGCTCAAGGTCAGGAGTTCGAGACCAGGCTGAGCAATAGCAAGACCCCGTCTCTACTAAAAATAAAAAGAAATTAGCTGGACAACTAAAATACATATATATGGAAAAAATGAGCCGGGCATGGTGGTGCATGCCTGTAGTCCCAGCTACTTGGGAGGCTGAGGCAGAAGGATTGCTTGAGCCCAGGCATTTGAGGTTGCTGTGAGGTAGGCTGACGCCAAGACACTCTAGCCCGGGCAACAGAGCCAGACTCTGTCTCAGAAAAAAAAAAAAAAATGTATAAAGGGTCACTGGAAAAAAAGTACAAAGGGCCACACAGTTGGTTAACTGCTGCAGATGTTATATAGATATATATTGTAGACAGACTGCCAGGGCTTATTCTCTTGTAAGTTGTATTGATACATTTTATGAAAGGAGGGGAAACTCAATCTCATGTTCATTGCCAATGGAGCGTAAAGTGCAGGTAGTTTGGAAATATGCATCAAGAACTTTAACAATGGGCGTATCATTTAACATCAATTCTGGGAATTTATCCTAAGAAACTGACAGGAGATTTATGCTAAATTTTCTATAAGAATCCTCATTGAAGCGTTGTTTATAACAGGAAAAAAATAGAACTAATGCATACCCGCAAAAGGAGATTAATAAAACAAATCATGAAGCATTATTTACTCGCAGGCTGTGAAAGGTATTCACAGCAATAAGTGAAAAAGATTAACTGAGGGTATAAAACAGGCCCCCACCACGTGAAAGTGCTAAAGAATCAGAGCAAAATTTTACTTTTTTTTTTTTTTTTTTTGAGTCAGAGTTTCTGTTGCCCGGACTAGAGTCCCTTTTCTTCATATTCTCACCAACACTCATCTTTTGTCTTTTTTCAGGTCCCTTACCTGTTTTTTTGTTTATTTGTTTGTTTTTTTTTGAGACAGAGTCTCATTCTGTTGCCCAGGCTAGAGTGAGTGCCATGGCGTCAGCCTAGCTCACAGCAACCTCAAACTCCTGGGCTCAAGCGATCCTCCTGCCTCAGCCTCCCAAGTAGCTGGGACTACAAGCATGCCCCACCATGCCCGGCTAATTTTTACTATATATTTTTAGTTGGCCAATTAATTTCTTTGTATTTTTAGTAGAGACAGGGGTCTTGCTCTTGCTCAGGCTGGTTTCGAACTCCTGACCTTGAGCGATTGGCCTGCCTTGGCCTCCTGCAGTGCTAGGATTACAGGCGTGAGCCATCACACCCAACCCCCAGAAAAATTTTAAAGCATTGTTATCTGGGTGGTGGGATGATGGGTACTTTTTATTTTTCAATTTTTGTTCGCCTATACTTATAAACACTAATATAGTAGCCAACATTCATTGAGTCCTTACTATGTACCAATTTATTTATGATCGCTATTCATTTAATCCTCACAAGGAGGCACTCTTCTTACTCCAGCTTTATAAAGGAGGAAACTAATTCAAAAGCCTAAGGAATTTGCCTAAGAAGCAGCCAGAACCCAAGGTCTATGACCTACCCTCATAGTTATACAATCTATAATAGCTTAAGAAACATACACTATTTGCATGGTTTTTAGTTTTCAAAATAAATGGAATATGAGTGGCCGTTATGAGTTACAAGTGTTGATTTTTTGCCTAAAAGGAAAGAAAAGGTATCCTTGCTATGCAAACTGGTGAACTGTAGAAGTTGTGATTAGTCTTAATGACCCAACATGCTGTTTAGTCAATGCAAAAGGGACGCATCTCAGAAGACACCAAGAACAACATTAGCCATAGACTTGGGATTGAAGAAACTCCCCCAGATGTCTTAGAAAACAGATTTTTCAAATACCTGTGGCCAAAAAATGCAAACGGTTTATCATGGATGACCGGCAGCACCGCACAAAGAACTTCATCAACGATCTGGTAGATGTCTTTGGCAAAAGGCTCTTCCAGTCGACTTTCTCTTCCAGCAAGCCTTACGGAGTGCACTAGAGACCAAAAACCACAAGTTAGTATACACAAGCAATGAACGAGATACCGTGATGGTGTTAAAGAGCCAATGTTTGCACAATGTGAACACTGTCAAAGAAACATGATAATGGTTAAGTCCAGTGAGGTGCAAGTTTTAGTATTTGCTGATAAAGAAAAGTAAGAGCATGAAATACTTTCTAACTACAAAATACCTAGAAATGCTAGATGAAACACATGTATAAGTAGATGCACAGTTTAGCTTGCAATAAAGTAGAGGGAATATCTAGAAATCAAAAAAGAAGGAACTAAAAATTCTGGTGGTAAGCGTGTGGCAGTCAGGGAAGTAAACCATCAGGTTTCAAGCGTGGCCTATAGGGTCAGGAGACAAGGCATTGAAATGCCTTATATTTGAGAATTAGAACTGAATCCTTTACATAAAGCTAGGAAACTCTAAACTCTAAATCAGGGGTCCTCAAACTTTTTAAACAGGGGGCCAGTTCACTGTCCCTCAGACCGTTGGAGGGCCCTGCTATAGTTTTAAAAAAACTATGAACAAATTCCTATGCACCCTGCACGTATCTTATTTTGAAGTAAAAAAAACTAAACGGGCAAAAACACCCATATGTGGCCTGCGGGCTATAGTTTTAGGATGCCTGCTCTAAATCCTCAGTAAAAAGGTGGCTCATGCCTGTAATCCTAGCACTCTGGGAGGCAAAGGTGGGAGGATCTCTCAAGGTCAGGAGTTCAAAACCAGCCTGAGCAAGAGCGAGACCCCTGTCTCTACTAAAAATAGAAAGAAATTAATTGACCAACTAAAAATATATAGAAAAAATTAGCCTGGCATGGTGGTGCATGCCTGTAGTCCCAGCTACTCAGGAGGCTGAGGCAGGAGGATTGCTTGAGCCCAGGGGGTTTGAGGTTGCTGTGAGCTAGGCTGATGCCACAGCACCCTAGCCTAGAAAACAGAGCGTACCACTGTCTCAATAAAAAAATATATTTTAAAACATTACCTGAATAGCCCTATATCTATTAATTACATTTGACTATACAGTTAGAACTTTCCCTCAAAGAAAACCAACACTTGAGGAAGAAATAACATCAATTCTACACACATTCTTCCAGTAAAGAGAAAAGAAGGAGACACCTCCTAATTCATTTTAGGAGGCCATCATAGCTCTGCTAACAAAACTAGACAAAACAGTTCCAAAAAGAAACCCATGATCCTAGACTCAGCAATCCTGAACAAATTATTAGCAAATTAAATCCAGCAATATAGAGAAATATATACATTATGACCAAGGGTTTATCAAGGATAGATGCAGGGAAAGTATTTCACAACATTCACTGGTCACTCATGGTTTTAAACTTCTTTTTTTTTTTTTTTTTTTTTTGAGACAGAATCTCACTCTGTTGCCCAGGCTAGGGTGTTGTGGCATCAGCCTAGCTCACAGCAACCTCAAACTCCTGGGATCCAGCAATCCTCCTGCCTCAGCCTCCTGAGTAGCAATAGAAGGGAACCTATTCAGCTGACAGAAGGCATCTATAAACATCCCATAGCTAATATCATATTTAATGATGAATGATTAAATATTCTTCCCCTTGGCTGGGCGCGGTGGCTCACGCCTGTAATCCTAGCTCTCTGGGAGGCCGAGGCGGGCAGATTGCTCGAGGTCAGGAGTTCGAAACCAGCCTGAGCAAGAGTGAGACCCCGTCTCTACTATAAATAGAAAGAAATTAATTGGCCAACTAATATATACAAAAAATTAGCCGGGCATGGTGGCGAATGCCTGTAGTCCCAGCTACTCAGGAGGCTGAGGCAGGAGGATTGCTTGAGCCCAGGAGTTTGAGGTTGCTGTGAGCTAGGCTGACGCCACGGCACTCTAGCCTGGACAACAAAGTGAGACTCTGTCTCAAAAAGAAAAAAAACACAAAAAACAAAAACAACAAAAAAAGTGCTCCCAATAATTTCTAAAAATACATTTATACACAGATTTGAGGTCTCTCTTCTTCCAATGAATGGACTGTTTTGTTTGAGTCCCGGATCAGAGGACAGGCTACTAGAGAGTGGCAGGGAAGGGACACACAGAGGACGTGAGGAAGAGAGAGGTAGAGTGCTGGGAAGGGACCATTTCCAGGGACACAGAGGTACCTTGAGGAAGGAAAATGTCCCCTGGAGTCCTGAGGGCAGAAATGGAGAAGGAAGGGTCTAAAGAAGTGTCCCACGGAAACAGAAAAACATCAGAAAACGTCAGATGACAGAACTTCCACCCAATACCAACAAGGTGCCATTTATCTTTTTTAAAAACTGCAATTCACTATAGCAACAGAAGAGGGCACTCTTGAGCTAAAAAAACCTTAGGTAGCAACCAGCCACCTCCCGCCAGTGGAACCACCTGTCATTGCCCATCAGGGACTCGGAGGCATCTCATCATACACAGAAATGAATGTAACGTGCAAATACAGAAAGTATAAATCAAACGTTTTCAGCTGATGAAAATACTTGTTTAAAAAAAAAACTCGCAAAGCAGAAGAAAACAACACGACACTCCAGCATGGAAGACATTAAATCAAACAGATGGCAGAAATGAAAGAATACTATGACTCAGAAATTTAGAATTCTGCCTAGAGAGAGACGATTGCACAAAGAGCTGACAAAAGACCAGGAAGAAATTAAACAAAGGGACAAAAATTATTTCAAAAAGGACTCAACAAAGTCGTTCATGACATGACCAGTGCAAAGTGCTGTATTTGAGTGGATACAGAGGACAAGAATGAGGACAAGGAAAGCAAAGCTAAATAAAGAAATAGGGGAAATATTACAAAAGAAAGTCATAGTCTGGCATAGGAACAAATGGAAACCCCCAGGAAAGCTAAACAAAATAAAACACTGGGAAAGAATGAAAATCTGGTCTTCTTTTTAGTTTTAAAGATATCTGATATGATTTATTTTTGATGTGTTTTTATTTTTTATTTTAGAGACAGGGTCTCACTCTTGCCCAGGCTGGTCTCGAACTCCTGAGCTCAAGCTATCCTCCTATCTTAGCCTCCCAGAGTGCGAGGATTACAGGTGTGAGCCACCGCGCCCAGCCAAGAATGAAAATCTGAAACTAATTTATTCGAACTTCTCCGAAATAAAATAAGATCAGAATTACATACTGAAAGAACCCACTATGTGCTTGAGAAAAGTGACCCATAGTAGTTGAATTAAAATATTAGAGGATCTGAAGAAAAATAAAAGCCCTTCAGACAAATTACCAAGTTATTTATAAAGGAAAGCAAATCAGGATGGTATTAGACTATTTGAGAACAAAATATGAAGCAATACAACAGCAAAGCAAAAAATTTTAAGGATCTCAAGGAAGTATATGCTTCAATCATTTATCTCCAGTATCAAAGTTCCCTAGAGATACAGAGATTTGGATATATTGTAATCGTGAGCCTGCTTAAGCCATCTGCTAAAACAGGAATCTCCAACTCAAAGCCAACTGCTGCCTGTTTTTGTAAATAAAGTTTTATTGGGACACAGCCAACGTTCATTTTGTATGTGTCTGCTTTTGGGAGGCCATGGCAAAGCTGAATCATTGCAACAAGGACCGGATGGCCCACGTATCTGAAAATATTTGCTGTTTGTCCCTTTGCAGAAAAAGTTTGCCCATCTCTGTACTAGAAGATGAACTTCTTCCAAACAGGAGATGATTAGAGAAAGTATGGCAAAGGACTGGTGTTAAGATTTCAACACGTAAGGATGATGGTTATATGATCTGATAGAGTAGAAATAACTTTTTTATTGGGATGGAAGAAAAGAGAAATAGAATTAAGTTCACTGATTTTATACCAGATAATAGGTGTGTGTGTCTAAGGGTATATTGTCAGAAAAAGGAAAATTTGAAAGAAAAATTTCCAAAAGCGGTTCAAGATGGCTTTAGTTTGGCCATACGACTCATAAAACCTAGACCTGTGATCTAGAGTTAAACTCTCACCTGGAAGGCTGTGGGCTGCGACACATTTCAGTGACGTGTACTCATTAGAACTGCCCCTATCATGGGAAGCACAAAGGATAAAACCAGTCACCCCTCTCCAGACCTTAAGATGCCTACACATGGGTTACCTTTTTACCCTGTAGACGCTGACCACGTATTTGTTTGGTAGCCACTGGGCGCCAGTCAGAACTGTGAGAATGTCACCTTTGCTCCACTGTCCCCTTTTCTTATTTTCTATGGGACAGAGGGCACAGACGCTGAGTGTCATGTAGGCCATTGCTAGGACTTGTGCACCAGTACGTTTCTGGGTTATGGCTCTGAAAGGTGGCTCAGAATAAAACCAACTTTGATTTCTTTAAGTCCATAGTGCCTATTAGTTCAACCTCTGGCCAACAAGTCAATATGATTTTGCAAGACTTTCTAGCTTGCCAGAATGAGTACATGTGACTTTGGACAAGTCACGGTTTTATGATGGCAAAGAACCCCTCTCCCATGTGTTTTATTATCTTAGGTAACCTGCAAAATTTAAGCAAAGAAAGGTAGGTCAGGCCGGGCGCGGTGGCTCAAGCCTGTAATCCTAGCACTCTGGGAGGCCGAGGCTGGCGGATTGCTCAAGGTCAGGAGTTCGAAACCAGCCTGAGCAAGAGCAAGACCCCGTCTCTACTATAAATAGAAAGAAATTAATTGGCCAACTAATATATATATATATATAAAATTAGCCGGGCATGGTGGTGCATGCCTGTAGTCCCAGCTACTCGGGAGGCTGAGGCAGAAGGATTGCTTGAGCCCAGGAGTTTGAGGTTGCTGTGAGCTAGGCTGACGCCATGGCACTCAAAAAAAAAAAAAAAAAAAAAAAAAAAAAAAAGAAAGGTAGGTCACCTTTGAGAAAAGAAAAATAGCTCACAGCGGTCTGAGCTATGTGAGGCCCAGAGAGACATGAGTGTGGGACTTCAGTACCCCACCCCCAGGCTGGTGTTTAAAGGCATTTTGCTCCTGATCCATTTATTTTCTTCACATTCCTGGAATTAGTGGTACAAAGAGCAATGGATGGCCAATCCATAGCTTATGTTGTTGTAATATAAATTCCTGGTGAACAACTTAGGCACTGCCTCTTCTTTCTCCCTTAAAAACCCACTTGTAACTGCTGCTAATCAGAGTGTGTTTTCAGGGCAACTTGAATCTTTGCTCTCAAGTGGCCATCCTCAAGCTTTGGGCTTGAAGAAACTCTATACTTACTCGTATTTTCTGAATCTTGTTATTTAAAATTGATACCTCAAAAAGGAAGGAAAGAGGGAAGGAGGGAGGGGGGAAGAAGGGAGGGAAGGAAGGAAGGAAGGGAAGGGAGGGACGAAAGGAAGGGAGGAAGGGAAGGGAGGAAGGGAGGAAGGGAGGAAGGGAGGAAGGGAGGAAGGAAGGAAGGAAGGAAGGAAGGAAGGAAGGAAGGAAGGAAGGAAGGAAGGAAGAAAGAAAGGAGAGGAATTCGAAAGGATACATGAAGAGTTTCAAATGAACTTTTGTTTTCTTAAAAATATTTAAAGTAGTATTTCCAAATAAATTATGTGGAGCTTAACTTCCTGACCCTTGGGCAACTTGCTTCCAAAGAAGCAGAACATGGGAAAGAGAGACCCTACAAGCACTACTTTGGGCAGGTGACCAAGCTTATCCTTATTGGTGACAAGTCATGTTTATGGCATATGCCCCTGATCTACAGGGATGAGAGTGGCACTTCACCTCTGTGGTCGTCTTCCCCAAACCCTAATGTAACTGTGAGAAAAACATCAGGAAAATCCAAATGGAGAGACATTGTGCAAAATATCTGACCTGAACTACTCCAAATGGTCATCCAAACCAAGGATAGTCTGAGAAACTGTCACAGGCGGAGGAGATGTGACAGCTAATAAGAGAAATCTTTACCAAGCTTCAAATTCCTATGAGTGCGTTGTCATCTGACCTTATAAATTGCTTAGATGGCAATAAAAATATTTTATCACGTACCTTCCAGTGACTCATGAATCTGTTGGCCCCATTTGGCAAAATACATAGAGCCACCTCCTGCCCAGGGAAAGCAAATGAGCTTAAAAATGGCATCAGGATTTTCGTATAAGCAGTTGAGCACTTTTTCATTCCTAGGAAGAAAAATATATTTAACATTACATATATCGATTAAGTTCTCCATACTGAGTTGGGTAAAAACCTTTATTAATTATAAAGAATATACGTTCAAAGATAAAGTGATTGCCAATTTTTCCAATTAGAAAGGGCAAAAAAGGTTTTTATGGTCTGTGTTGACAATTTGAATGTGTAAACTTTTAGGGGTATTGGTGAAATAGTCAAATATCTCTATATTACATTTAGTAAGTTCATTTTATATGCACATTGAAAATGACATAAATGTTAATTTAGAAATTACCCTTTTCACAATTGGGGAAATAGTTTTATCCAAACAGTTCAATCTCAGTGTCTTCATTATTACAGAGCCACTTTTCAGGTCATCTAAAAGTTTTCCAGAGCATATTATTTTCACTTCCTTCTGAGTGTTCGATAAACACTTAAATCTGCATATAGTGTCATGGGAAATGTTATCCCAAGATCCAAGTGCCCAATATGCTAGCAGGAGGAAAAGTTATTTTTTAAAAAGTCATCCTAGATGTTTTCATTTGTGTTCTCCACGATTTAAACCCTTCCTCTAAAGTTTCGATGTGGATCAATAAATTCCTTCCAAATACATATAATCTTCCCAAATGTGAGATATAAACCCTAGTATAATGATTAAGTCTGTTTTGCCTGTCTCTCTCTTTTTTTTTTTAAGTATGAGTTTTTTCAGTTCCCTGTAAGCATCCAAAACTAACACCAACTGAGATCTTTTCAGGTGAACTTGTGTTCTGTACAGAGGACTTTGTTCTTCATAATAAAACAATTGAGAGAACACTCATAAAATGAGACACTTAGGTAGAAATGAAAATTTTGGAGGGGAGAGATAATTTTTGAAGAAAAACTCCTTGCTCTTTATTTGGGCACTTAGTTTAATAACTGCTAGCTTAAAAAAATAAAAGCAAAAAGAACTCAATTTTCTTTTTTTTTTTTGAAAAATTGTACTTTGAAAAAAAAATTTGTACTTGAACCTGCGTTCCCACTAACCAACCCCATCTTCAACAAATTCATTGATGATGGGTCATCCCTAAATGAGTATTTCATAGATCTCCACCATCTTCTTGAGAAATGCTACAGTCATTTTCTCAAGGAGTGCAAACTCGGTCCATCGAGACTGACGTGATAAACTACATAACATAACGGGTGACTTTCTGTACCTCATTTTTTCGGGCTATTGAAAAGTCTAGAACTATTACCTGAATTTCAGATAATGCCATATTTTTAGAGTCAAAAAGGCCTGCTTCAATCTATTTAAATTGCCTCCGTTTTAATAAACAAAGAAATGTGCTAGGGCAACAATAAGGGTGGGTTTTGCCATGCCTAGAGCCTGTGCAATTTGCAGGGTCAAGAGCACAGAAGCATGAGTCCAAAATTCGGTCCAGAACCTTTGATCCTGTGTTTCAAGATAATCATTTTCCTTAGGGTTGGTGGCTAGGATAGGAGCTGCTTATCTTTCACTTTTTTATGTGAGCGTCAGTCTTGGGGGGGTCCTTGAACCCATTCCAATGGGACGCTCACACGTGGCCAGGATCTCATGATGGGGGAGAGGAGGGGGGAGGGGAAGTGCCTATTGCCTGCAAGCTTGGACAGCTAGTAGAACGGCAGCCACCATGAGGTTCTTGCCTTTCTCTACCACCTGGCCAACTTCCTCGCTTCGTCTTAGGGAAAGAATACAAGATCAATTAAAACCTGCACTTGCCTTCTTGTATCTCTTCCTTCTTCACATTTGAGCTAAATACTAGAATTCTAAACCTTGAGCACTGAGAGTGACCAGAGAAATCATTTAGTCCACTCTTGCAGCCTGATGGCCAAAGGCCATGGAAACAAGGAGGTCGGGTTACGCCCCTTACTATGTGGCATTAGGAGAATTACGCAAGGGCTTTAAATTCCCAGTGTCCTTATCTGTAAAATGAGGACAGTCGTAATAGTCTTCCCTCAAGGTAGTTGTGATGATTAAGAGCATCAGAAACTCTCAGCTTAGTTTTAGGCACACACCAAGGAAGAGGAAGTGTTGTCTATTATTGCTTATTTCACGGTTGATGAAACTGAGGCTCAGGGACATAAAGTCGCTTGGCCGGTTAGTGACAAATTAGGAATTAGAAGACAAATCCCATTAGTCTTAAAAGCTACTTCCCTGCTTAACCCTTTTCCCATACTGTCAGCATCACCATGCAGGCAGGCCACTGAGTAACAGGTGGAGAACTTACCTGAGATGTTCTGGATTAAGACAGTCAGGACTAGAAACTCTTCTTCGCTTTGATATATAAGTAGAACCTTGCCTGTACCTCTCTTAATGCACACAAGTGCTTCAGCCAACATTTACAATTTCACTTTAAAAGCATCCCCAAGTGGATACCATTTCACATAGGAAGTACATGGTGCCATTCACAAGACGGTAGTCCCCCCTTATCCCGGGGGGGACTACATTCCAAGACCCTCAGTGGATGCCCAAAACTGCAGATCGTACTGAACTCTACGTAGACTGTGTTTTTCCTTGACATATATTACCTGTGATAAAGTTTAACTTAAAAATGAGGCACAGTAAGAGAATAACAGCAACAATAATAAAATAGACCAATAATAACAATAGACCGTAATAAAAGTTATGAGAATGTGGTCTCTCTCTCTCTCTCTTTCTCTCTCTCTCAAAGTATTTCATCATGCTGTACTCACCTATTTTCAGACCTGAAATAAAGGGAGACTGGTGTACCTTGCATTAGTGCCAATGACCAGCAAATTAGGCTAAGGGCAGAAGCCTCTTCCAGTCTAAAACGGTAGGCTTATGAAGGCAGGGTAGAGAGCCTGCTGTGGGGGAAGAGCCAGTTTGTGCAAGGAGTAGCCTACCTGGTTCTTCCAGCTTGGTCTCTTCCCTCCATACTGTGAGGGGACGATATGAAATTGATCCTCTCGGAAATCTGTTAAAGGCTCAACAGCACTCACTTCCTCTTTGGGTGTAAAACCTCCAACCAGCCTTGTGCACACAGAGAAGTGTGACTAGCTTTCTTTTTCGAAGTGGTGACTCTATTGACTGCTCCCACCTCTGCTGAAAAAAAAAAAGAAGAAGGAAAGAGGAAAAGGCAGGAGAAGAGGAAAAGAAATAGTAGAAGAAGACGACAAAGAAGAAAAATGGGTTAGAAGAAACATAACAGATGTTATCCAAGATAAGGAGTCACCCCCCTCCTCTGTTCATTCATATTCAGCTTCCAGTAAGTTCTTAACAGGACTTTTAGCTAATATACTAAAAGATGCAACAGTTCTAAACTCTAGCAACTCAACAACCCTGCAGGTAAATAAGCAGAAAACACTCAATAGTTGTTTGACAACTGGGGTGGGGGATATTTGTTTTGAAAATAGAAATGTCTTACCTTTCTAGATATATATAAAGTTGTGCTCTTTTAAATATTAAGAAAGAATTAGGGACCCTCAGAAAGGCTTCACAACTGTGCCAAACTTCCAATTTTGCAAGCTTCCAATATTCAGAAAAGAGAAGAAGAATACACAAAGCCCTGTCATTCAAAAAGGTTATATTCTTAAGAGCTCCTTTAATCCCAAGGATTAATCCTTCATCTTTAAGGTTGCAGTTGACCTCACAGTCTCAGTTGTGAATCTCAAAACTGTTATTGGGAGCCCAGCCTGACCCCTCAGCCTGCAGATCTTACAGTGCAGTGCTGGGACAAGGAGGGACAGAAAGACTTGCTTAAATAGAGAAGAAAGTTCACAGAAGATGGGAAGTCCATGTGTTCTTTTCTCAGAGGCTGTTTGTAGAAATACTGGCCCGGAGCCATCGTAAATTTGCAGAAGAATCAACTGGATGAGTCACTAGATTCCTCTGACTTTGTGTGGAAGTAGTTCCTTCTTGATTAAATAATATAAAATGCAACAAAAGAACCACTTTGACCAAGGAAAGTAGGCAATCAGAGGTGGGATACACATTTTTGGTGTTGACAACCTGGAAGTCGTTACTAAGCACTACAAAGTTTTAATAAGATTAGTTTAACTTACAATACCAGGCAAAAATAACCTATACGTCAGGAGCAAGTAAAGAAAGATGCCTTATATTGTCTGTGAGGTTTTGTTAAATTTAGACTTTGATAAATAACGCATGTTTTCATCTCTCAGGCAAACCATAAAAGGAATAGACACGCACCATAAGTCATCCAAACTGGGAGAGACAAATGTTTCATCGACCAAAAAGAAAAGTGAGAAAAGGAAAGAGAAAGAAACATAGGAAAGATGAAACAAATGAAAAAAGCACAATGCGAGATGGCAGGCTTAAACCCCAAATATCCGTGATTATATTATATGTAAGTGGACTAAATTCTCCAGTTACAAAGCAAAATTGTCAAGATTGAATTTTGAAAACCCAACTATAGGCCTGTGTAGAGGAGACATTATCTAAAACAATATTACTGCTCTGATTCTAAACAATGTTAAGTATAAAATGCTCACTTACCAGGCTTTGGGGTGCAACCCCGAGAAACACTGTCTGGAAAATGACGAGCCACTGGGTAGCAAAGGAAGAGAGGCTCATTGTGAGTAGGTCACCTGAGGAAAAGGCGGAAAGAACAACATGGGCCAAAGGCCAGAGGAGGGACAAAGCACCAATTGTTGGGAAGCCAGAAAGAGCTAAATATGACTGGCAGGCAGGACGTGGGTGAGCCAGTGATGAAAAAGAAAGTGAGAAAGCAACTAGGAGACAGCGATTTTAAAGAGTTTAGACGTGACCTTAAGAATGGGGAGAATCCACGGAAAGGTGAAATGGTAATGAATTTCCTTTCAGAGTGATGCTTCTGCCAACCAGATACAGACAAGAGGCTGTATCTAGGATCTAGTATCTAGGATCTAGTATCTAGGATCTAGTATCTAGGATCTAGGATCTAGGATCTAGGATCTAGGATCGTGATCTAGGAGATAAAGGGTGGTATTTGGCCTTAGAGTATTAGCAAACCTGTAACACTTACTGAGGGCCAGGTGCCCTGCTAAGCATTCAATACAGAGTCAGTCTTTTAATTTTCATAACTATATAGACACTATTCACAAAAATAATTAAGGTATTATTATGCCCCTTGTTTTGTTTTGTTTTGTTTTATTTTATTTTATTTTATTTTTTGAGACAGAGTCTCGTTTTATTGCCCAGGCTAGAGTGGTGCGGTGGCATCAGCCTAGCTCACAGCAACCTCAAACTCCTGGGCTCAAGCGATCCTCCTGCCTCAGCCTCCCAAGTAGCTGGGACTACAGGCATGCGCCACCATGCCCGGCTAATTTTTTCTCTATATATTAGTTGGCCAATTAATTTCTTTCTATTTATAGTAGAGACAGGGTCTCGCTCTTGCTCAGGCTGGTTTCGAACTCCTGACCTCGAGCAGTCCGCCTACCTCGGCCTCCCAGAGTGCTAGGATTACAGGCGTGAACCACCGCGCCCGGCCCCTTGTTTTAAAGATAAAATCTGAGGCACAGCGAGGTAAGTAACTGCCTAGAAGACACACGAATGGGGAATAGACCAAGAGGGCAAACCAAACAGTCTGGTTCTAGAAGCTGTGCTCTCAGCTCCTGAGGCAGCCCACCTCTGTGCCCAGGTGGAGGTGCTGAGGTCTGGATGAAATGAAGGTCTGGATTTCACAGCTACTTTAGACCACGGAGTCAGGGGGATTTGGTGATTAGTTAGATATTGGGGGGGGGCATGTAGGAGAGGGAGAGGAAGCAAGTATGAGTCCCAGTTTTCCAGGTTTGGGCAACTGGACGCATAGTCAGCAGCGTCATCCACTGAAATAGGGAACACGGGAGGGGGAACGGGCTTGAGGCAAAGGTGCCGGTTGAGTTTGAGATACCTGTGAGGTCTCCACCGGGAGATTTCCTGAAAGTATTTGGCCACAGGGATCTGGGCCTCAGGAGAGTGTTTGAGAATAGGTCTGGGGGTTATCTGAATAGAAGGGAGGTTGAAGCCAAGGGACAGAACGAGATGGCTTGGATTGAGGACAGAGAGCAGTTGGTCTTTCTAGGAAAATTGCACGTGTGTGTTTGTTGTATTTGTGCCCAGTACCATTTCAGGGGTTGGCGGAGGAAACCAGGTAGGTAAGCTCCTCAGAGCCCAGGTTCAGGAGGGCACCCATGGGGCAACAGTGTTGACCCTTGAACATTACTGAATCAAAGAAGGCAACTGCTCCAAGAGTGTCTTGGGGCTAGTGATAAGGAAGGGGTCTCTCTCACTTGGGAAAGAGAAGTTTTGCATGCTTCTTGTGCTTGTGGGTAAAACTCTGGTAGCCTGGGAAGAGATTCTGGAGTTGGCTGCAGAAATTGGGATTGCAGGATCACCCCCATGTCATGTAGGAACAGCTGAGAGGGCCAAGAGTGGATTTGGGCAGAGTACCAACATTGTTCACTCCTGTTCCCTACTTCTCAAAGGGAAGCTTTGGGAGCTCAACAGGAGCAGAGCAGATACCAGCTGGCCAAGCAGACTGATCTCATAAGTAATCTGACAGCCAAGAGAAGGAGTGAGTGCTTACGAGGGAGACAGGATTGAGGAATGCTAAAAAGAGAGAAATGGATGGGTTGAGGCCAAGAGTAATGAACTGATGGAGGGAAGTCCCAGAGCAGAAAGAAAGGATTTTTATAATCCTCGTCGCCGATTTTCTTCTCTGCTAGGTGGTAGGCTCTTTGAGCAAGGAGGTCTTAGTGGTCTGGCTCGCTGTTGCACCCCCATCCCTTCTCAGCCGAAGGAACAATGAATAAATGAGCAGGAGTAGTAGGAGACAGGTGTAGTAGCAAGCGTGGTGAGGCTTATTCATCTGGGACAGGAGGGAAGGGACAAAAGGAAAGGGTGATGCCCTGGAGAGGTTTTGAGGCTGACACAGAGGAAGGAAGGGTTTAAATGGATGGCTTCTTTTCCAAGGGAAGTCGTACAGAATGCTGAGCAATTATGAGATGACCAATGACTAGAATAAAATCGAAAATGATCAGGAGTGGGAGAGATCGAAAGGGCTGAGTCTACAACTTACAAAAAGATAGGGCTGCCGGGCGCGGCGGCTCACGCCTGTAATCCTAGCTCTCTGGGAGGCCGAGGCGGGCAGATTGCTCGAGGTCAGGAGTTCGAAACCGGCCTGAACAAGAGCGAGACCCCGTCTCTACTATAAATAGAAAGAAATTAATTGGCCAACTGATATATATATGTATAAAAAATTAGCCGGGCATGGTGGCACATGCCTGTAGTCCCAGCTACTTGAGAAGCTGAGGCAGGAGGATCGCTTGAGCCAGGAGATTGAGGTTGCTGTGAGCTAGGCTGACGCCATGGCACTCACTCTAGCCTGGGCAACAAAGCGAGACTCTGTCTCAAAAAAAAAAAGAAAAAGAAAAAAGATAGGGCTGGAAGCCTGCGTATTTCACCAGCATGCCCCATCTTTTGTAGCAATGAGTATCAGCTCAGAAACAAAGAACCCGGACAGAGGGGTTGGCCCAGACATGCGGACAGGCAGGTTGGAAGGACACGAACCAAGGGAAAGAGGACTGGGGGTGCCTTTGAAGAGGAAGGGGACCACAAGATTACGACTGGAGAATGCCGAATAGATAACAAGACAGGGCCCCTCTTCTGGGGAAAAGAGCCTTGGGGACAGGGGTTGAGATGGGAGCCAAGAGCGAGTTCCCTCGGAGTGAAGGAAGAGGGCGTGGGGAAAATGTTAGACGGCTGCAGGACACAGGTCAAAGTTCATAGTCTGGCACTTGGGCGGTGAGACCACCCTGAAGGACAACCAGACCCTCATGGGGGTGTGAGTTTTGGGGGTAACGCACAGTGAGCCAGAGATGGTAGCATGCACGCTATGGCATGGACCTCTTTTGTTTCTCAGGAGCTAGGGATCAATTTTGCTAAACAAATCATTGTAAGTGGTGCCCCCAACCCCCGCCATTTTTTTTTTTTTAAGACAGGGTCTTGCTCTGCTGTCCAGGCTGGACTACAGCGGTGTGATCATAGCTCATTGCAGCCTCCAACTCCTGGGCTCAAGCAATCCTCCTGTCCAGCCTTCTGAGTAGCGGGGACTACCAGCACGC